ATTGTTGTTAGCGTTGGTGCCCAGAGTACACCCATCTCGAGCGGTGCCGAGGGTCTCCACAAGAGCAGGCACGGTGGCTACATCCATGCACGGTTGAGCACCATACAGTGCAAATACCATGGTCCACCACGAGTGCTAACAGGGAAGAGGCACACTGGTGGATATGCCCATAGTGTGTGGGCGCCCTGCGCCATGTCTAATTGCCCCATATATATATATATATATATATATACAGTGAGTACGAGAATACGTTACAAATATATTTTGAGAGTGACATCGTTGACTTCTGTGCCCCGCGACCCTTTCTGAAGGTCCTCCTCTTCGAGAAAGTGCAGAGGCATGTTGACGAGCGAGCCTCGCACCTGCGAGAGACGCTGCTTGATCCAGTCCAAGTCGAAGGCGAGGTCTGCGACATGACCAGTCATGATGGGTGGCTTCGGGAAGAAAGAATGGTAGTCCTTCCAATTCCTGACCTTGTCAGAAGGGACCACGCGGAAGACGTCGTCGTACACCTCTGTATTGGTTGTTGCCTGTCCTTTCCACATGCGCTCGAGTTCCTCCGAAAGCGGATCTTGTACAAGCTGGTCGTACTCGTCGTTGATTATGGAAGGGTCGGGATTCGGATAAGGGGCCGGCCGCATCGCCGCAGTCGGAAACGAGCGTGCTTCTTCTGGAGTGCAACCCTGTGGTGGGATGAGGCCCAAGTGCTGACGCCAGACTGTGCGAGTAGGAGAGCACGATAAAGTTCAGCTCCGCTCCTTGGGCGAGGAACATGTTGCGCGTACTCACGATGTCTACGGAAAGATGCAGCAAATGTGGAGGCCATGTACGGCTTGCCGTCCATGCGTGACTCAAAGAGATCCTTCTCTTCGATGCAAACGGCAATCTCGCTGTCTCGGTTGCCGCACTGACTGCGATCGTTGACTGTAATCAGGTGAATGTGTCAGTCCCAGGAGCGAGATCAGAGAGACCTTCACACCGATGCTCACGATTGGCGGACCCAATGATGACGCGGCGATCGTCAACAATCATAATCTGAATAAAGCGTGTCAACAAGCGTAAGGCTGCCCCTGGTTTCGGTCCGGGCACAGAGCCTCACCTTGGAGTGAACATACGTCTCCTCCGTGACGTATGCAGCTTTCTCATCCGCTGCTGAGCCATTCCACGTTTCGCGCTCTGGCCGCTGACCATGCAAGATGTCGCTGGCGATCGAGTCACGCACCTGCTGGTGGCTCTGCGGCACTTTTGCTTGGAAACGCTTCAACAAGTTCTTGGCTTCCTCCGTGCTAGCCGGCAATGGAATCGCAGCGATCTCAGCCGGCTTGCGCTGGCCCGTCTTTTCATCGACTTTGTCCGAGTCGCTGACGGGGTTGCGGATCTTGACCACCTCGCGCGCTGGCCCATCGCCAATTTGCGCGTCGCTGAGGTGGACGCGCGAGATGGCTACCTGCGTCTCGTGGAAGGAGATGCCGCTCTCATATTCGACCTCTGCGATCATCTTGCGGTCATAATTGATACGATCGTACCCCCGAAGGTTGTAGAAGGAAATGTAGTCGTGAGGATTGACGCCGGCTTTTTCCAGCGTCTTGAAGATGCTGTTTTCGCTGCGGCAAATGGACCAGTACTGGAATGCCATGATGCAGCGGATGCCGGCGGATTCCTCCAACTCTCCCGCAAAGCAGGGGATGGTAGGGATGACGATGATGACCTTGAATCTGCGCCCATCCTTCGCGGCGGAGAGGACCCGCTCTACGATTGCCGAGCCGATGACATTCTGCACTTTTTCGCCTAACTGCGTCGCGGTGATGAAGAACTGGTTTTCAATATAGATGCAGTGATTCGCTTCGCGGATTGCCTCGATGTATGCGCTTTGAATCGAGTTTTCTGTTAGAATGCCCAGGCTCCAGTCGGCGCTTGAACGTATCACCTGAATGCTAGCACTACCCGCGATCGGGTTGCTTGCGTTTCCGAGCGCCTGCGTGCGATGCTCAGAGTGGAATGGGTGGCGGAACTTTTCGCCGAGTTCTGCGCCCGCAAGCAAAGATCAGCAGCTGCGTCATTGGGAGAGCAGCTTGCTGCGCGCTCACCTTCGAACTGCTGCAGATGTGGGTGCCGAGCAACATCTGGGAAGAGCGGGTCGACATCTTCGGGTTTGTTGGCGCCGTTGGGGAATGCAAGCCAACTGAAATGATGGTCGTGCTTGTACTTGAATTGTTTGATAAAGTTCCACCGCTCGATAAAGTGCATCGACACATCTAGCGCTGCCGGCCCGTAGAAGGAGACATGCACGTCGTGCCAGGGCATCCGGCCAATCTCCAGCCGCGATTGCTGATTGCTCATAAAGTCATCGACTCCAGGTTCGTTCAAGAGGATATGAAAGACGCTGTCAGCCGCAGATGATACTTTGCTTGCAATGAGGCTCCGCTCCACAGGGATGGGGAAAGGACACACCCTGTTGAAAGTCTTGGACACGCGCGTTGTTGTAGTCTTGACCTGGGAACAGCGTTCGCTGCCAATCAGAAGGGTGCAAGTCTGCGAGGGGATGGCTTTGCGTGTCCCAGCGTCCGAAGCAAATGTCTAAACCACCAATGCAGGCGACACGGTTGTCGACACAGACAAGCTGTTTGAGCGAGCACGATATCATATGGAACATGCGATGAGAGAAGTGCCATGATAAGTGAGGGTCATTCAATATCTCGAACATCTCGACACAGGTACGAACCGAAACCTACCTTTTCATGATGTGACCAGAACAGCGTCACCTCTCCACCGAGATGGTCTGGGTGTCTTGCGACCTGGATATTTTTATGGAGCGCTTCGAGATGGTGCTTTGTGTGTGCGGAGCTCATAGTCCTGTGGTAAATGCCCATGGATCTCGTCAGTTCGCGCAGGTGAGAGGGTTCAGATGGTTTCCAATCACATCGTTTGCGTGACCTCTTTGTAGACGACGACGAAGATCTTGACACCCTCCTCGGCTTTGCGCTTGAGAAGTCTGTCGACGCGCCATTCTTCGAACATTGAAGGTGGTCGCCGCAGGTAGAGCTCGGGGCTGAGCCACCAATCAAGAATGTAGATGCATTCTTTGGCACTGTCTAGGATCTCGGATAGAGCCCAAAAGTAGTCGCACCTGCAAGCATACAACAGAATTCATCAAGCGGCCGGTTAGCTGCGGCAGTCGGTAACGAGCGCGCACCCTTCATGCATGGAGACGCATGTCAGCCTGGCTAGCTCGCAGCGTGGTGACGCACCCATCCGAGTAGAACTTGACTGCATTCCCTTCTCTGATCGGCGCAAAGCTCCTGAAGCGATGTCCATCGCGAATGGCCTCGCGCCTCCTGTCTACCTCCTTCTCACATTCCTCATCGTGCCTGTGATCCGGGTTGAATGCCGTCCCGATTGAGACGCCCAGACGCGAGAGCGAGGCGCCGAGGACTTTTGGGTCGGTGTGCTTGATGAGGGTGTCCTTCAGACCCATTTTGACAACGACTCCTCCAATCAGCGGCGCAGATGTCGATGAACCGTCCAGGATATTGCCTCCGCTCACAGTGGCATGAAGGTCGGCGTCGAGGAGATACTTTAAAGGCTCTAGCGACGCACCGACTATGCCTTGACCAACATCCAACATTGACTGTCTGGAATTGAGAGATTATCAGACCAAGCATCTCGCCAGGTCGTTCCCTTGGCAGGCCAGCGAGCGGCGCACTAGGCCCGACCCAATGCTTTGCTTATCTGGTTCCGAGTCCCGAGTCCCGTCTTTCAACGGCTCCACCCCGAGGACGGCCACGATCGCATTGCATCCTCTCATCAACGCACATGCCAAATCACAGCAGTGACTTCAAGTTCTCTGTCAAAACTACTCCTATATCAGAAAATTTGCAGCGCATAAGGACTTGTGGCCGGTCAACAAGCAAACAACTTGATCCATCAATTCAAAATAGCCTCTCTTCTGAACCGTGACCAGCTCGCCTCGATTCCGCTGCTCCGCAGCGTGTCCTCGCTCCGTTGTCCAGAGGTGTTCAATAGTGCACGGCGCTCTCACCTCGTCTGTTGGCAGATGCGCATCCGCTGCACCCCCCCTCCCCACTTACGGCCTGCTCTGCGGAACCAATGGGTTTCGCGGCGAAGGGGTAGAGGGGTATGCGCCCGGCGAGCTGTCTGATGCTGCTGAGGACGTCGAGAAGGATGAGTTCGATTCTGAAGAGGCAAGTGGAGCCAGAGAGAAGAGAGCCGAGTTTCCCAGGGGGTTGCAGGCGTACGTTGAGCGCAGCGCCGAGATGCACACAAAGTGCGGTGCTACAGATCGTGCAGGGGAGGGCATTCTGAGCTGCTTGAGGTTGCCGTTCAACCAGACCGCGCTTGCTGATAGCTATGCAACAGAGTCCGCTCGGCTTGGCGTCGATGTCGGACGAGATGTGGAGCCAGGTTGCGGGAATAAGTACAATTCAAGTAAACATATACGAGGTCTTTGCACAAGCCTTGCAGGCCAAGTCCGAAAGGGCCCACGGCTCGATCGTGGACACCAAGTGGCGCTCGACGCTGAGGTCAGTTGCTGATGTACGGCAAGTGTTATTCATCAATCAAATTGAGGGGGACTGGTGCCTTGCCTTGATCGAAGTTGCAGAATGTCGAAGTGGATCCAAGGATCGCAAGCGTGAACTAATATCTCCTCAGATGTCCTCATACACCGGAAATGGCCGAACGTTTCGCTCGCTTCGGTGGTTGCGGCCACCACAATTCTATGGCAGCCCAACGGTGGTGTGCGGCTACGGTGCGCAATGGCAGATGAGACATTTTATATGTAGATATGTAAACTATAAACTAATAGAGACCCTTTCCAAAGGCAACGCGGGATGCGAGCAGCCCGGCACACGACTCAGCCTGGCCTTCCCTCGTCGGGGATACTAGGAAAACATGGCAATTGGTGCCGCGTGTCCAACCCCGTCGCACCGCGCAGTCTATGTACAGCATGTGCGACGAGATCATGGTGTGCAACTTGCAACTCTTTCGTGAAAAGCCCTCTTCGCCGGCGTGTCTTTGTTTGGATTTTTGGGCGTGTGAGCAGTAATGGAATGAAATCGATCACTTCCTGGTCTTCAAGAAGTCCAGAGGGCACTGACTCGAGTTGCTGGGTGCATTAGAAACGATCAGCAGGGCCTCTTTCTTTTGTGCTCTCGGCCGAGATCTGTGGGAGACGTCCTCAAGCGGGAGACGTGCTGATGGCAGCTCACGTGGAGGATCGCGTCCCGTCACGTCGATCGTTGGCGGCACCCCCGCGCTGTAGGCTGGCTGCTCCTTGTTGGACAATGGACAGTTGTATACTTGACCATAAACAGCTTGCAGCCACGAGAGCCAATTGTTTACTCGCACCATCCAGCCGGCAGCGTCATGCACTCGGACTGGTTGCGCTCCCTACTACATGTGAGCACAGTTGGTGAAGGAAGCCTGCTTCACTTTCAAGCAGCGCAGTCCAATCCTGTGAGCACTGAACAAGCGGCGCAGCCTGCAAAGGATGAGGAGTGCTTGTGAACAACACTCTGCTTTAATGTTACCGAAAGAACAAACATCTTGCGGTCCAACTTTTTGATCCAAGGTCACGGATACACTTAAAGTGAGAAAGTCGTAGCCACAAGTTAATGCTACTCGGCCTCTACATCTCTTAGCACATTTAGGATGAAGGGGCAGTCACTTGCGCAAGATTGGTGAACTGATTCGACTATAGAGTGCAACGCAGGTAGCAGCGGATCTTCGCTACATGGCGCCACACCTCAATGTCAGCGCCGGCCCGGACGCCTCATCGCTGTCGACGCTATATGTCAACTCGGACCTGAACCCGACATTGGTGTCCTCGGCTCACTTCCATGGCCGCATCGCTGTGCGCATCAAGCACTTCACCGGCGACGTGCCCGAGGGTAAGGAGCGTGTGGCCGAGGCAAAGTACTTTGAAGAGGGGCATGGAAAGGGTATGACATGGAGTATACAGGTGCAAGGCAGATTCCTCAAAGACATCTCGACGGATGACCTCGTTTTTGGCAACGAGTTTGATCGACCAATTAAAGTGCGTTGCTACGCTGGACGCTTCTGGTTCCGTGCGTCGCGCTGACCTGCGCTTGTTTTTGGACTTCCTAGGACAGGCTGCCCTGGGGAACTGCAGTAGCCCTCGAGGCCGCCAAGTTCATTGACCCAAATCGTGTGTCGCGTGCTCCCTCATTTGGAGCTGTTCTCGGTCTTTTGCTGACAATCCCCATGGCCTTCGATAACAGTGGAACATGACCTTTACTCTGACAAGCCATGGGCCTTCTCACCATTCGTGGCAACCATGACGCGCATCAGTGCTGTCAAGCTTTCATCCGAGCCATCGTCGAGCGGCTCAGATGTGCAGGAAGAGTTTCGCACGACTGCCTGGCCAGTGTTTCCCTCACCAGAGAACAGCAACGCGAGCGATCCGGCGTACGTGCTGGATGATCTCAGTCCGCTGATCCCGTACCCTACGTCGAGCGACGCGGCGAAAGACGTGGATATCGACGATGCGACGCTCAACGACCTCAAAGGCGGGACCGGCCCGGACAGCGCGCCGCAGGCGCACAAGACGCGCGCGCGTTGGTTCGGCGACCGCGCACACCGCCAGAGCATCAAGGTGACGCCAGAGCACGTCCTCACAGCCGACTTTTGCAATTCGTTCATTGACTTTAATACGCTGCGCCTCGAGCTGCCGTACACAGGCGGCATGGGGTTTGACTTGAAAAAGTACTGGGACGGGCAGCCGGTCAGGTACGTGTGCAAGGACAAGAGCGACGGCACAGTTTTCTTTTTTATCCAGTGAGTGTCAGAGACACGTCTCCCGTTAGTACAGTCAAGGCAGCTGCTGACTGCGGTCAGCGACGTGTGTGTAATGCAGGTTCAAAATCGTAGACATGGACGCATGATCAGCAAGGAGGCGATATCAAGCCGCAAGCAAGGTACGGGGGATAGCAACAGAACCGTTGTAGAGCAACACCCTGCACGCAATCGTTTGTAGGAAATGGTGTTGGTATCACGCGTGCATGAGCGCAATACAGTGGACGGTTATACCAAAGTACAGCCTACGTCCTAGGTTTGGATTTTGCCTTCCGAGTCTGAGCGGGGCAATTAGCAGGCGACATGCCTGCGACATGAACTTCAAGCGGATCGCCCTCGAGCGGAGACCTGTCGCCTGCTGAAGATGCGGTCACGTCGACCACATGAATCTTCGGCTCACCCATTATCTGACCACTTGGAGCGCGTTACGTGTGCACGAAGATGGTGTCTTGAGTCGTCACCCGCAGGCAGCCTTTCGAAACTTTTTTTGTTGCCGGAAGCTGTTTGTGTAAAAGAGAGGGGATTTCCGAATGAATGTGGCTCGAAAACTGAACCGAGCCTTGATTTCTCCAGCTCTCTTTCTCTACAGTACAAGGATCTTGTCTACTTTGTTCGTCTTATCAATCTCTTCCATCTGGCTGCATGCCCCAGGAAGCTTCACTTCCAACACCCACCTGCTGCTGCACCTCAATTCCAGACGTAGATACTGCCACACCAAGCAGGAATACAATCAGCTTGGCCAAAGAGCAGCGCTGAGGCCTCGAGCTGCACGCATCGTGGATGTGCACCGTGCACCGTGCTCGTTGGAAACTTGGAGCGGTGGGATTGGTGTCCGGCGACCAGACTTCGGACTCCAGAGGGCGGGTGACAAAGAGTGGGAGACTGGGGTGGCAATAGTAGACGACGAGGACGGCTGTTGACGCAGGTGTTCGAGTGCGAGCTGCCCCAACTCTTCGACACAATAAAGCCGTGAGAGCCATGAGCCATAGGCAACGCGTTGTGTCCGGCAGACGGAAAGCAGACACTCCGACATCCGGAGACGTTTATGTCGATGGTCATCGTGTCACGTGTGGCCTGGGTTCGAGGTTGGCTCACGGGTAACAAACCGTAGGAGGCTCGTAGTCCGCTGGCGCGAGCCCGCAGCAATATGCTCGAGCGGCGCAGCCTCTTTTTTTTAAAACAAAAAATTGTTTGCTCTCGGTTCGGCTATTGTGCCTTTGTTTTTTCTTTGTGCAGTTGCAACAAATAAATCAGCGCTCACAGGCGAGCCGACAGCAACAAGGGCGGCTGCCTGGCTGCTCTGGTGCTCTGTGCATATCGAACCCCAGTGGAGAGGCGGAAAACGGGCGGAACCAATATTCCTGCGGTGCAAAGTCGACGTTTTCAACCATAGTGGCTGGGTTTACAGAAGTTTGTTTGCGGGTTTACACATATGCCAACGCACTTTCACTCAGTTTCGCAGGCGTTCTCCCCAACACATCCGCAGCAATAAATGTGAGCACCGCTCTTCCCACCCGCAGACGGGTGAGCCGATCACATTTGATCCTCCTCTTACCTAAGTCTGCCCCAAATTATCGAACTGTCCAACAGCGTAGCGTCCCCACGCTGTGGAAGACAGACGCAAGTAGTTAGGCAGCTGACGCATAGCACCCGTTTGGGCTCGCTGTCCTGGCCTGCCTGTTTGCCTCGTCATATGGGGCAAACCACGACCGCTTCACCCGCCTTGGCCGACCCCGACAGGGTGCACTGCGACTGCCGCTCGCTGATACAGAACTCGTTGGACCCACAAGTGACGAAAGAGAGTCGCTTTATGATGGCCTGGCGAGAACCGTCGAGGAACGCCGCATCGGCTTTCTTCCTTTGTTACCCAATAGAGATGGTGTGGCAATGATTTTCCTTGACTGAATTTTGGAGCGTTCCGGTACTGGCTTTGTGCGCTGCATGCTCCTCACCACCGCATTTTGCATATATACAACATCTCTACCTGCTATAGACAGCTTTCTCAGAATTCTTCCCCTCCCTATCCTCTCATCAGCTGCCGTCCGATTCATCATGTCAGCAATTACCGGCGATGAACTCAGGCAACGCTATGCCGCTCAGCCGGCAGGCTTGAAGACGCCACCGTTGTACCTCCAGACACCACCGACGTCGGATGACGAGTCGCACGCACAGTTCAAGGACCGCACGGCCGGCAAGGGTGTCAGCAAGAATCGCAGCGATGTGTCTGCCATTCCTGGTTCGGACGTCGAGCTGCCGGATGACTATGTCGTGCGCACGCTTGCTCGCGAGCCGGCGCTGCCGCCGATTCAGCTCGAGAATATCCTGAACGAGATCCAATGGGTCTCCTTCATCGTTCTCACCACCACCCCGATCCTCGCTGCTTACGGAATGCTCACCACGCAGTTGCAGCTCAAGACCTTCATCTGGTCTGTCATCTACTACTTCTTCTCCGGTCTTGGCATCACCGCTGGCTACCACCGGCTCTGGGCGCACCGTGCCTACACGGCATCCAAACCGCTCCAGTACATCCTTGCCTTCATGGGCACCTCGGCCGTCCAGGGCTCCATCCACTGGTGGGCACGCGGTCACCGTGCACACCACAGGTACACCGACACCGATCTCGATCCGTACGGCGCGCACAATGGCCTACTCTGGAGCCATATAGGCTGGATGATTCTCAAGCCCCGCCGTAAGCCTGGTGTTGCGGACATCTCTGACCTGCGTCGCAACCCTGTCATCAAGTTCCAGCACAAATTCTACCTGCCCCTCATCCTCCTTGGCGGCCTCATCGTTCCGACGCTTGTCGCTGGCATTGGGTGGAACGACTGGCGCGGTGGCTTCTTCTACGCCGCCGTCTGCCGCCTGGTCTTTGTCCACCATTCCACCTTCTGCGTCAACTCGCTCGCGCACTGGCTCGGTGATGCTACTTTTGACAACAAGCACACGCCCCGTGATCACGTCGTCACTGCTCTGGTGAGTCCATTTTTTGAGCCATTAGCTTCAGTGGCGTGCCGAAAGTGACTGTTCTCTTCTTGCATATCACCAGGTCACCGTCGGTGAGGGCTACCACAACTTCCACCACCAGTTCCCGATGGACTACCGCAACGCCACCAAGTGGTACCAGTACGACCCGACCAAGTGGTTCATCGTGACCATGAAGTACCTCGGCCTTGCCTCGGACCTTAAGCAGTTCCCGGACAACGAGGTGCAGAAAGGTATCTACACCATGAAGCTGCAGCGCCTGCACGAGGAGTCGCAGGAGCTAAAGTGGCCCAAGAAAGTGCAAGAGCTTCCGGTCATCAGCTGGGACGCGTTTGTCGAAGAGAGCAAGACGCGCGATCTAGTCGTTGTCCAGGGCATCGTGCACGACGTCTCGTCTTTCGTTTCGGAGCACCCGGGCGGCATTGCACTCGTCAAGTCCAAAGTCGGCAAGGACGCGACCACCGCATTCTTCGGCGGCGTATATGACCACAGCCGTGCGGCGCAGAACCTACTCGCGACCATGCGCGTAGGCGTCATCGACGGCGGTTACAACGTGCTCGCGGAGAGCAAGGCATACAAGCGTTACCAGGCAGAGCAGGCGGCCGTCGAGGTGGAGGAGAAGGCGGAAGCAGCGGTCGAAGCGGTACCAGCAGTATCGGCTGAGAAGGAGGCAGCAGCACGACAACCCAATGAGCGCGCCAAGGCGTACAAGACGCCCGGCGAGGCGTACGAAGTCACCAAGCACATCGAACTCGGCGTCAATGAGACCGCCAAGAGGTACGGTGGCAAGGTTGGAAAGATCCTCTAAGGGATGGTTTATACCACCTTGCACTGCGCTGCATTTGCATTTTTTTTCGCTTCCTCTAGTCGTATCATACTGTCTGCGACCACGTTGACCGTCGTCCGCCACAATCTTGCTTCGTATCTTCACCAATTGTAGCCATAGGTCTTTCATCATATCACTCAATACAATCAATCGCCCGCAGCACTTGATCTGCTGACCGCTCTCTTTGTGCTCTTCGCCCCTATGAATAAAATGCCTTTCTGTGGGCTTGACGTTGCAGGTTGACTGTCTCGCTTCTTCTGCACCATCGCGAGGTTCTAGTTCGACCAATCTACCAGTTGATCTTATGCTGCAAGACATCGCAATTGCCAGTGCAGCGCGCATGTGCTGGCGAGGTGAGCTCGTCCGAGTCGCTCCCCTGCTCTTTCTAATAGGATGACAGCGAGACCAAAATCTCTGTCAATTTGAACACCGTAACCGCAATGACCTCGGCACTATTGCTCTGGCATCGTGGAGGCGTGAAGCCTAACACACCCAGATAGGAACGCGGGCGTGCTCGCGATCGCGGTGCGGCGCTGCGACGTGACTTTCTCATGCGGTGCGTGCGTCCGCAGGCCGTAGGATCTTCGCCCTTGCTGGCCCTTCGCCTTCCTCCAATCCAGGGAATCGCCCTGGTGCACTGCAAGGCCTCGATCAAATGAGGCAAGCTCTAGGATTTTGGATCGGTAGAACCCTTGTTTTCACTGGAACAGAAGCATGGTGAAGGCTTTGGGAGTGTTGGGGACGTAAATCCAATCTATTTTAAAACGAGCATATAGCCCACTTTCCGGGACAAGTATTCGCGCGAGTCTATTCTCCCCATTGTGCATATCCCTTCATCTTTACCCTTCTTCCAATGCCCGAGAGCGCGAGATCGCAAGGGCCCGGCGTTTTCACTTATGCAAAGGGCTTGGTCCTGGCGTTCCAGCTTTGGAGACCCACCAGACACGGCTCTTTCTACCGGTCATTATGGAAGCTCTCTTCTCTGTCTCCGGGCGCGCACGGCGGTACGGGGTCGCGTCCTCCCCTTCTCATTCTGCCTTCTGGATCTCGACGCCAGGCGGTGCGCCGACGGCCTGCTTGATCTAATTGAGACAATGTAAGAGAAGAAGGAGCGAGGCGTCAAGTAAAGTCCCCACTTTTTGAGCTTGCGGTCCTAGATGAAGGACTCACTTGTGCATATATGAGGAATTGGCCTGCGCAATGACGAAGCGTGGTGAGAGCGAGTCCATGTCACACGGTCAGTGTTCTCTCGAGTCCAGCGGTAGGAGAATTCAACGCCCGCTTGTACTCACCGGCGACGAGGAAGCACGTCATGACTGTTCTTGTGCCCAGTCCGGCCCAGATACCTACGGGCCCTGCGTCCTTTGCGAGCAACGTAAGCTTCTTGAGCATGCCACCTGCACCTCCGCCGCCCTTGTTGATCTTGGAGAGTAACGTGTCGGCTGGGTGCGAGAGCACGGCGGCGGCTGCACCCGCGACGAGGCCGCAGCCGAGCTGGACGGTGACTTCACCTGCCTTGCCCTTCTTGCCGAGCGAGGCGAGCGAGGGGGTCTTTCGTACGAACTCGTGCATTGCCTCGTTCGTTGCGAATTGGCTGGGATGAGGAGCGCATCGCGAATCGGTCAGTGCAAGGCTCTGCGGTAATACGGTGGCGCACGAGGCGGCTCACCCGATCGCATATGGAACCTGCTTGAACAGGATTGGAATGTAACCGGCATAGAACCCTTTGATACCTTGTTCGCGGCTCATGCGCGTGATGGCGCCGACGAGCCCCTTTGCATAGGCATGCTCGCTCACGAGGCGGATGCGCGCAGCTTCCAGCGGCGTCAGCGCCGTCGTCGCGATCACCTCTGCCGCGGCGGCGGCGAGGATGTGGATCTGCGTACGGTAGGCAACAGCGTTTTCGTACCCACCGACTGCTTGTACGCCGGCGCGTTTCTGCACAAGACACGTAAGCGTATGGATAGCCGAGAGTCAGCAGATGCTCGCGGCGGCGTATAGAGCGCGCGCTTCTTGAATGCGAGCGCGAGCTAGCTCACAAAGTACTCGAAGCTGTGTCACCATTGCCGCGACAGCACGGAAATGCATGAGACGTATGGTATCAGCGGCTATCCAGACGAAACCACCACCTTGCAGCGCACGCACCCAGAAAATTTGAGACCGCCCTGGACGAGGTACCCGACGGCGGTGGGCCCGAACCCGGTGAGCAGGCCGGCAGGGCCCTCGCTTGCGACAATGTGCCGGCCCATGGAGAACATGGTAAACTTGCTACCTTTGGGCTCTAGCTGCAAACGCGTCTTAATGACGTCGATGGGCGTCATGGCGCCGTGCGTGAGCGTCGCGCAGAGCCCGCCGGCGACGAGGAAGCGCGAGTAGTCCGCCGCATTGAACTGAGGGACCTGCGCAGTCAGACCCGAGGAGGGGCCCATACCTGGCTTAGCCACCATATTACACGATAGCCAGAGAGGACGAAAACGACGAAGAGAACGAGAGAGAGGAGCACCTGAGGGAAGAAAAGATGGAACTGTGTACCACGACGATGATCGCGCTGGTCTCGGTTAGGTTCGGCTAGTGCTCGCGGGATTTGTACGATACTAATACTCGCTGCTCGCTCGCTCGTTCGTTCGCCGTCGCTATCGTCGGAGATGCGAGTAAGGGTTCTCCGTTCTCGAACGCTGCCATATGGTCATAGGCCAGGAGCTGTTCGTCAGAAGCATGTGCGCCTGCCTCACGAACACGGGGGCTTCTCCGAGGAGATATGTCGATTGTTGGTCAGGCGAACACGGATCTGATCAACACGCCAGCCGGTGCAGGTGTGGCTGTTGACGTCATGCTGTGCACATTGCGCTACCTGATTATTTAACCTTGTTGTAATAGGGTTGTTCACACACAGAAGCTCTGACATTGAGAGATCCGGAATCCGAGATCCGAGATCCGTTTTTGCTTGGTCGGCGACGCTTGTCATGAAAGTCATCAGAAGGCAAAAATGGTCGCTCTGTAATGCAGTACCTGCTATTCGTGTTGCTTCGAGCCACCGGTGCTGTTATAGCTAGCCTTGCTCGGTTCGTCGAGTCAAGACACTTGCCAAAGGGTTATATTGATCCTAAGCTGCTGCAGCCATGTCCACGCAGATTCCGCTCCGCTCTGCCAAGCGGCAGCGTCTGGCCGACAAGGCGAGCGCGGACGTGGCGGACCAGCTCGCGGCACAGGGCCAGCTGGGACCCAAGGCAGCTTCGATTGTCGTCCAGTTCCAGTCCGGACAAGATGGGAGCGCGCTGGGGCCGAGCATCAACTTACCCGCCGACACGGGACGCAAGCAGCTCGAGATGATCGTCAATCGGCTCAGAAGGGATCTGCGTGCTGCCAAACTCGGCGGACGGCGCAAGGGAGACGATGGAGACGAGGAGGCGGATGAGGAGGACATGCCGTATGCATTTCACGTCGCGCTACCTGCAGAACAAGGGAAGGATGGAGTGGCTCCAACGGCAGCAGCAGCGCGGCTACCCGTCACCAATTCTCTGCTCGACGATGTGCTCAACGCATCCGCAGCCCAGAAGCTTGGCTTGTCCACCGAAGACGTGCTCACCGTCGTCTTTGAGCCGCAAGCCGTCTTCCGCGTGCGACCCGTCACAAGAATATCGAGCACGCTCAGCGGACATTCCTCACCGATCCTTTGCTCCGTCTTCTCGCCGACGGGCAGCCTGCTGCTTACCGGCTCCGGCGACCACACGGCACGCCTGTGGGACCTGGACAGCGAGATGCCGCTGCACAGTCTCCAGGGCCACCGCAACTGGGTTCTGTGTGCCGAGTGGGAGGGAAGGGAGCGCAAGATCGCCACAGGTGACATGAACGGCGAGGTTTGGATCTGGGACGCGCTCGACGCAAGGGGAGGTAAGACGGGCAAGAAGGCATGGGGGACCAAGAGCAGCAAGAGGGTCGAGGAGCAGCGCCTGGCGCAAGAAGAGCTTCAAGTGAACGCGAATGGTGATGGAGCCGCCTCCGCCACTGCCGACACAGAAAAAAAAACAGAACTGCAACCAAAGAAGTTGAGCGTCGCCGAGAAACGTGCATTGCGACTTGCTGCGCCACAGGGCCACGTGCTGAAAGGGCACACGAAATGGGTCACCGCGCTGGCATGGGAGCCGATTCACCTGAATGCGTCGACCCCGCGCCTCGCCTCCTCGTCTAAGGACGGGACAGTGCGGGTGTGGGACGTGTCGACGCGCACATGCGCCTACGTCCTCGGCGGACACACCGCCAGCGTCAACGCCGTGCGGTGGGGCGGCGAAGGGCTGCTGTACACCGCCTCGTCCGACCGGACGGTGAAAGTGTGGGACGCGAAAGTAGGCAAGCTCGTGCGCAGTCTTGACGCTCATGCGCACTGGGTCAACACCCTGTCGCTTTCCACGGACTGGGTTCTGCGCACTGGCCCATTCGACCACCTCGGCCGGCTGTTCGACCGCGCGACCGCCAACAAGCCCAAGGGCGCCGCCGGTGCAGAGGAGGCGACGCAGCTCGCGGCGCTCAGTGACAAGCAGCTCGACGTGCGTACGCAGAAGGCCGCCGCGCAAAAGTACAACGACGCCGTCGCCGGCGGCCGCGCAGAACTGTGCATCTCTGGCTCCGACGACCACACGCTCTTCCTGTGGCCGCCGCAGGGCCAGACCCCTGCCGCTGCGGGGGACAGGGGCGCATCGCCTAAGAAGCCGGTTGCGCGGCTGACAGGCCACCAGAAGGTCGTCAACCATGTCTCGTTCTCGCCCGACGGGCGGCTGATTGCGTCTGCGTCGTTCGACTCGAGCATCAAGGTCTGGGATGCGCGCTCTGGTTCCAGCGTCGGTACCGGCTCGGGTGCTGGCGCGGGGGGCAAGTTCATTTGCAACCTGCGCGCACACGTTGGGCCCGTGTACCGCCTGGCGTGGTCGAGCGACTCGCGCATGCTCGTGAGCGCCAGCAAGGACTCGACGCTCAAGCTGTGGGACATGCGCTCGTTCAAACTCAAGGTTGACCTCCCAGGGCACGAGGACGAGGTGTACTGCGTCGACTTTGTTGCGGACAAGGTCGCCAGCGGCGGCAGAGATCGCGTCGTGAAGATCTGGACGCACTAATCGGCGGCGTCAGCGCCACAGTGCATGTACTAGGAGGCTGCCGGGCAGAATGGATGTTGGTGTGCATGAGTGTGCGATAGTGCGGCAGCTAGAAATACACTGGGGGTATCGTACAAATTAAATTTGCGATGTGCGCAGCAGCGACGATGTTCATTTCTTCCCCTTTGCTTTTGCGTTGGCAGCGCTACTTTTGCTCTTCTTGCCGCCGCCAGCTCCTTTCTTGGAATCCTCGGCCTTGCGCTTTTGCGACGACGAGGACGAGGACGCGGGCGATGAGGAGACAGTGAAGAAGCCGTCGAGCCTACCCTGCTGCTTCTTGCCGAGCGACTTTTGTAGCTTCTCTGCGCCCTTGCGCACGCGATCTTCGCTGAAGCCCTTGTCCTTACACAGGAAATCGACGAGACCCTCGACATCCGGCGCCTCCCACTTGAGGTCAAGGTCGTCGGCGTTTTGCACGTCGGGCTGCAGGAAGAGCTTCTTGGCCTCCTCGTGCGGCCAGAACTCGGGGATGGAGATGCTCTTCTTGCTCCCTTCGCCACGGAGGTGGTCGAGCACGGCGGCGAGAGTGCCGTGCTCTCGGATCAGCTTTAGCGCCGTCTTAGGTCCAATGCCCTTGATCTGCTCGAGGTAGTCGCAGCCGAGGAGGATACACAGGTCGACAAACTGCTCGCGTTCCATGCCGAGGCCTTCGAGGGCTTTCTGCAGGTTGACCTCGTGCACGGGCATCTTCTTCTGCTCGCTAAAGGTCAGGTGCTTGAGCAGGACCGGCGTGCCGAACGTCAGCGTGTCCATGTCCTCCGACCCAGCGCCGTAGACCTTGCCCGCGCGGACGAGCTCGGCGCACTGCGCCTCGGCCTCGGAGGGCGCGACGACGCAGGGGATGCCCATGAGCTTGAGCAGCTCGCGCACCTCGGCGTTGTGCTGTCGCGTCGGGCGCACCTGGCGCCGTGCGAGTTGGTCCATGCGCTCCGCATCTGCGACGTCCTTCTCGTCCTCCTGCTCCTCGCGCGCTTCTTCGCGCTTGCCAAAGCGCGCCTCGAGCACCTTCTTCTTCAGGTCGGGCGGCTGGCCGTCAAAGACATACATCGGCTTGATCCCATGGTCGATCATGCGTAGGGTGCGATAGAAGAAGCCCATCAGGTGCGACGTCGTCTCTCCCGACTCGGACATAAGCTGTTGGCCGTCCTGCTGGCGCACGGCGATGAGGAACTGGTACAAGGACATGGAGGCGTCGATGGCGACCTTGCGCCCAAAGTACGTCTTGATGTCGTGCTCCTTGATGCAGTCTGGCGCCTCGTCCGATAGGAGACCGGTCAAGCCTGCAAGAGGATCGGGTGATGCAATACGAGGCGATGCGATGCGCCGCACATTTGAATTGTGGCGCGTCAGTGATAGACTCGTCTTGCGCTTGGCGGGCATAGCCACAAAAGCAGCAGCAGCGCGGGCGGGAACGGCCGACGGGTAAGCTCACCTTTGATACCCATGGCGAACGAGAGGCGGTCGTGCACTTGTACTTGAGCGCAATGTGCACGCTGCTGGCGCTGCTTGTTGGCCTGGACCGTACTGTTGACGCTGTTTCCAAGTTAATGGTGGTCTCCGGCTTGGTCAGTTGGTATACGTTCAAGAAGTATAACCGCCATGCAAAGTTGCGTCCAACGCGTCGCGTCCAGCCCAAATCGTATATACAACCCTAACACGGAAAAGTATATTACAGAAACAATTTTGCTGATGTAGCTTCTAAGCTGCTCAGCCTACTTTCGCCACCCTAAAGAGTGTGGACGATCAGCATGAAAGCGCGCCTCATCCTTCAGCAAGAGCTTCCTCTCCTCGGGTCAGACAGTCTGAGCGATCCGCTTGTACGCTCCCGAACCGACTGACTCCATTCTGGGCAATCGCATTGAGGTCCTACAGCCAAACGAAGATGGCGCAAGTCGAAAGCTGTCGCACACTGAAACTCGATACACCTCCCGGAGGCCAGAGCTGAACTTGTTCTGCTCGGCTCTCACGCAGTTCAGGACAGTGGTTGTAGGCTCTCCGATCTACATCATGAAGGAACATCAATGGCTCGCGAACGTTTGTCAACAGCAAGAACCCGGTCGTCGTCTGCTGCGACCTCTCCACATCCTGGAGTAGTTCAATGTCGGCTGCCGGAGCGAGATGAATCTTCACTTGCGGTGCAGATACTTTACAGCCCCGCTCCCGAACAGATAATTTGCCCCGCTCCAGACCGTCGTCGCGGCCACAACGATCTGGAAAGCACTCAAGCCGAGCTGGACGCTCTGCAGCGCTTGCACGTCGGGCGGCAGGCAGGGTAGCAGCGTTGTCGCACCGACGAGCAGCAGCTGCAGGAAAGTGTTGTACTTGGAGATCTGTGTCGGCTGCACAGACGCTGACGGCAGCGAAATGTCCCAGTACCGCGCAAACGTCTTTGGCGGCGGCAGCGAGCGGTATCGGATCAAGAAGGCGGATAAGACGAGCGCTACGTCTCTGCCGAGGATCAGCACGGCCAAGGGTACTGTTCCGAGAAGGTTGGAGAGAGGACGTGTCAGGGTCTGTCCGTGTGCGCTCTCTCCGACAATACACATGCTACCTACCCGGCAAGAGGCCCTTGATGGCGAGGCACACGACCATCACAGTCATTAGCGCCTTGTCCGCCGCCGGGTCCGCGATGCTGCCAAAGACGGTGTAGCTGTTGCATTTACGCGCCAGCCAGCCGTCTACGACGTCCGTCAGGCCCGAGACAAACAGCAGCGCGGCTGCCGCCGGCATTTGCGACGTCAGCACCAGATGCCCCAGCACGGGAACACTCAGCAGGCGCAATGTCGTCAGCAGGTTCGGTATCGTGTAGATATTCTCGGATAGTGCCACGGGCGCGCTGGTCCCGCTTGCTGCCTGTAATTCCCCATGAGAGGGGAAACAAATTGGTGTTAGATAGAGTTGAGCACGCGAATGTGTATTCGAGCGTGACTGACCTTGAGCTGCTCGATAGCCTGTGTTACTTTTCCTTTTGGCTTTGACTCCAAAGTTACGGGTCTCTGGTCCCTTCCTTGCGAGGGAGGCTGCGGTGTGGGTGGGCCTGGTGCATTGGACTCAGGCTGAGATGCAGTGCTGGCCGCTGATGAATTGGCAAACGGTCGTGAGGATGTCAGTTTCATTTGACGCAGGACTGAGCTTGCATTTGAGCTTTGCAGCGAGTTCAATGGAAACTTCGTCCCTTTAGGTCTTGATGTACGGACTTCTCTTGTGCACCCACGCACAGTTGCTAGGCCTCTTCGCTGCGAGCAGATACAGAGCAGGGGCAGAGCAGGGACCAAAGACCGTGCACCTTCGGGGCCTTTGCTTCTGTGCGATTGGCGCCAAGCCGAACTCGTCGCGCCAGCATTGCAATTGATGAATACGCCAGAGCGGAGAGGTATAGAGAGCGAGGAGGATGTATGCACCATCGTCGTCGCTGTGTTCGGGTTCTGGAGCACTGCGAAAGGGCTGGTGTGTAGAATAGTTGGGCGGTTGTGCTGGGCTTCTGCAAATATTATTTGATGAAAGAAGTCAGACGAACACTTTCGCCGTAAATTTTCATCAGTGACGTGAAAGACGGTGAATAGACAAGCTGCGCTTGCTGCTTACACACTTCCAAGCAGTTTGTGCTTGCATGCAGAGGGTAGAAGTAGAGACTAACGAGCTGCGTCTGCTGGAGCAATGATGATGGGGATTGAGCTGCTGAGTCAAAGGAGAATAAATAAAGTCGCCGAGCAGTGGGCGGTATCTCAAGCTTTGCGGCGACACATCGGCAGCTCCAATGACCGCCTCGGCAATGCTTCTTTCGTTTGCTTGTGGCCCTGGCGCACTCCCCATAAGCTCCCGATGGATGACCCCAGGCAGAAAGGGGGAAGAAAGACGGCAGCACGCACGCTCCTTCGCTGTGCGCTTCTCCAGTGCTCAAGCTATGCCCCGCCTGTGGTACATTGCCTTCCAGCGCGGCCCTCCACGATACAGCCATGCTGGCAGCAGCATCAGCGTCTCTCCCAACATCACGACTGATCTTCGTGAATATCAGTACGCCCCTGCCGAAGATGAAGCACTGCAGCTTGTCTACGTGTGGGTCCTGAGGCTGCCTCAAGAAGTTCAGGCTGGCCATGCCTGTGGGCGGTGGAGCAAGGTAGCTGAGGCGGGCACTTCGACGTGGGGCTCGCCACAGAGTGCATTTGTAAATATTCAGCTTCGGACGCCTTCAGCTGCAGACTTGGAAGCAGCTCTTGGGGCTTTACATACCAAAGTTTCACCCAAAGGCAAAGGAAAAGATCGCTTAGTCGAACTTCACTTGGCTATATATGCCGCTGGGTTGCCATCAGCACGAACACACGGAGGAGGTGCGCAGTATGCAGCGAAACGACGCATGGCTGAAGGCGACCTGCTCAATGAGATAGCTTTCGATTTACCTCGTGCGTTTTTCGCTAGCGCATCTTCATCATCACAAACTGGAGAGGAGAGTGTCTACTTCGTGCCAGTACTGTCAACGCCCATCGAGTTTTCCATAACTCCCTTGTCGAGTGGCGACAAGAGCGAGCGTACGCACGACACCATGCGCCTCTTGCGATCCAGGGAGCACGGCTGGCTGGTGTCTGTCAAGGAAACAGCTGGATACGAGCTAGACAAGGTGTGTTGCCCTCTATGTGCGGGCTCTTTCTTCGACTTGGAGTGCTGCGTGCTGAGGTCAATTCTGTCCACATTTCTTGTCTCAGCACCTGTGGGACGCATCGCATCTCCTTGGTTCGTACTTGTCGTCTTCGCTTTTCTTCTCTTCCGCCTCCAGCCCTTCCCAATCCCACCGTCCTGGATGGATAACTCGTCTATTGCAAATCATAGCAGATGAGTCGGCTTCAGTACTTGAGGATGGCTACGCCTCGCAAGCGAATACAGCCGCACTGGCCGGAGATACACACCCCTTCGTCGTTCTCGAGCTCGGCTCAGGCACGGGGTGCACTGGCATCTCCCTCGTTGCCATCCTTGATGCGCTTGTTCGGACCGGAAGGCTGCCGAGTGAAAGGAGGGCAGAGATTATCCTGACAGATCTAGGTGAGCATCTTGCTGAAGCGAGACTACAGGCGAGTATCTCACAGACGCGAGTCCTTTTGGGTCATACGATTGTCAGAATCAGCGAGTGAGCTCCTTAAAGATAACATCGATTTCAATCAATCCCAAACTTCAGCAGCAAGCAATTCCACTCAACTTCGCTCCGCGGTGCTAGACTGGACACAAGTCTCCGCATCGCAGACCAAACTGCGGAACTGGAAAGTAGAGCATCTAGGCGAAGCAGACCGACAGCCGGATCTCATCCTCGTCTCCGACTGCACTTACAACCAAGACTACTTCGACGATCTTTGTGACGTTTTGCGCACCTTTCTTGCGCCGAGGCGCAGTCCTGCTGTACTAGCGCTCCCTTCAAATGACGAAAGCAAGCACTCGGCAAAACTTGCACCTCCCTCCACCTGTCTTCTCTCCAAGAAGCATCGCCACCCCGACGAAGAGTCGCTGTGGCCGAAGCTGCGCGCTCGTGGACTGCGCTGGGAGCTCTTGGCGGGCGAAAACGCTTCATTCGAGATTCAAAGCAGTGGCGAGCATAGTCACATGGGGCTGTACGAGATCACACTCCATCCTGCCTGAGCATCAATTCTGAATGCCAACACGTGTTCTCTATGGACAGTGAATTTGTCTTGGAATGTCTAATATACATATGCTGTTGCTTTCTTCGACTGTGACTGCAAGTACGCCTCCCGTCTATTTCCGTGCTGCTACAGATCAAAGCGTCTCTTCGTCCTGCGTGAGGTCAATCAATGATCCAGCTCGTACTCTTGCCACTCCTTGTTTCCCAACCACATTCAATATCGTCATTCCCATGTCTGCATCCTGACCTCCATTTCCTTTGACACCCTCCCCTCCTTCTTCGTCCTCGCCAGCCAGCAACTGCCACACGTCGTCGAGCTCTTCGGGGCTAAGTACAAGCTCGAGCAGCGAGCTCGCGCCTTCAGCCATCGCCTCCATGCGCCGCTCGCTTTCGAGCGAATGCAAGCTGTGGATCCACTCTGGCTCTTCCGCGAAAGCGATGCGCGAGAGCGAGACGATGAAGCTGTGTGTGACCCCGTTCAGGGCGGCCTGCGTGTGCGGGTGGTCTAGACAGGTACGGAGATCATGGAGTACAGGATCTCCGTCGACCTCGGTGTCGTCGTTGTACAGAAGTGTCATGAGGTTGAGGTCCATGGAAAGTCGGAGGAGCACGCTGCAGGGGCCTACTGTGTCAGCCGGGTACGTACAAGTAGTCACATGCACACAATGACACCTTGCCATGACTCACGCTTGAAATGCGTCCTGGTCACAAATACCTCGAGTATTCCATAAGAGTGTCGTATCCACGCTCAAACAGCTGACGAGCGCAGCTAGCAGGTACTTCGACTTTGCAATCACGATGCGAGCGTCCTTGTGCTTGAGCGCGAGCAGCGTCAACAACTTGATCACTCGGACATGAACAGCGTGGGCCTGTTATGCGATGGAAGAGATATCTAACGTCGTCAGGTCCCCATGCGAAAGTTCGCAAACATTGCAGGACACTCACATCTTCAGTTTCGAGGTCCACACGGCGATCGACGAGATGCTTTGCGAGGATGTCGAGCAGTGGCCGCTGGCTGTTGAGTAGAGCAGGTCTGATGCCACTCTGCCACTGGGTGTCGAACTGGCAGCCCATCACACGTTCCCATACATGTTCCACTACAGTTCAACGGATATCAGCGAGAGACCATGCCCTGGCCGTGATCACATTCTCTCACCATTGCTGAGCTCAAAGAGGAGATCGAGGGCCGCGATGAGGTTCGGAGCCGCTCGTTCCGGGCGGAGGAAGGACGTAGTCAAGCCGGGATGCGAAGCAATAGTTTCGAGTCTGCGAGCACGTGGAACGAACAATCAGAAAGCGAACTTTTGTAGCACAGTCTTTGAGACTCACGTGTAATGCCCCATCGCAGTCTTGAGCTGGCACACCATCCCGCAGAGAAAGGAAAGCACTGCCTCATACACCTCCTCTTCAACGTCCTCGCCCATGCTCCACGCTTGCTCTGCTCTGTGCTGCATCTCGCTCGCTTGATACGCGCGTAGGCACCGCATCTCTTCGCAACGTTTAAGCACCGCATCTTTGTGATTTGCGTGTGTGGTAGAACCGGTCTGCCTGGACCAAGTCGATTGGACGCAGAAAGCATGCTGCTGGCCAGGCGCGTAAGCGCGTGGCGAAGAGACTCTTATTGGTAGTCGCCATGTTTTCTTGACCGCTTCAAAGATGATGTCAGCAACGTTCGTCGGTGTCGCCTCCGGATTGCGAGGCCTTGCTTGCGTGTCGAGGCTGGCTAGTGCTTGCGTTCCATCTAGACGGCGCCTGTGAATGTTCAACAGCGAAAGCTCCGGCATATGAGGTATATGTATGCTTTGGTTCATCAGAGATGATGTCAATGCAGGAAACACTCGACATGTGTCCGCACAGAGCTGCAGCAGATCGTTGAAGAGGTCCATCTGCAAAGCGCGTTACAGGGTAGTGAGCGAGATTCAAGTAGATATGCTTACAAGAAGAGGTATTCAGCTCACCATGCACAGTCGCACAAAGATGCCTAGTAGCTGCCTTAGCGGCACAGCAAGTGCGTCCGTCAGCTCGGTCATAGCAGCAGCTTTGACCTCGTTTTGTAAAGCCCAAAAGTCCGACTCTGCCTCCTCCACAGTGGCATATGGTTCGCGCGTGCGGAGCTGCCAAAACCGACCACCAACTTCTGCAGGGCTATGCATGAGACGTTGCATCAATGCATCCAGTGCGTTTGCATGGTAGTCGAGAACCACAGAATCGATACCGGGAGGCAATCGCGCCGAGACGATACGCGTTAATGTCGAATGCAAAGCAGATTCTGGGGGCTTGGGGTAGGGGCAGTGATCTTGAAATGACTGATGTGGGTCGGAAGCGAGGGCCAATCCGTCTGCCTGCGTGTGGTAGATCGTGAGAGGAATATCGGCTAGTCTTGTATGCGGCAGCGACTCATGACAGAGCATGAAAGAAACCAGGCCGATGTGCTGCGCCGCAACCTGTGATGTTGCCCATTGATGAATTCGCGTGGGGTCCCGAAGCCTAGCTGTTTCCATAGAAGGCAAGGCAGCATCCTTTCTGTGGTGGCGAGGGGTACATTCCATCGCAGGCAACTCGTCTCCAGCATAACATGGCTTTTGACTTTCCACTTGACTCAGCGCCTTCGTGGGAGATCTTGCTTTGGTAGGCGTGGACGGTGAGCTACTAGCGGGTTTTCTGCTGCGGCATTGCTTTTGTTCAAGTGCCTCGGCCGCAAATGAATTGTCCAGCCCGGGAAACTCTGTTGTGAGTGGCAGGGAAAGGTCAGCGCGGGGTGCAAGGATGAATACGTGAAGATAAGCCTACCCTTGACCAGCTCTTTTGGCTGAACATCGCCAGTTCGCCGCCTCTGACGGCGAGAGTGACTATCCAGCTGCATCTCGTCGTCATCATCCGTCCTTACCCGTGGGCTTGAGTGGTCGCGAGCCGTGCTACCCTCTCCGGGACCCGTATCGCGATTCCGACGCGAAGGCGTGACAAGTCCTATTGCCGCGCCGTGCAACACATGTCTTTCCCCTACATCTGCTCTTGTGACGTTTGGCCAGCGGGAAGTCTCGCGTTCAAAGCGCTGCAATATTCAGATGCGAGGGGATCAGACGCCATTGCGAAGCACAATTTCTGGAGTCACTCACGGCAAATGCATCAACAGTCCTCATTTGTTGCATGCTCTGCACGCTCTTCTGCCTCTCTTCTTCCATTTGTCTCTTGTAGTCATCCTCCTTCTCCACCATCCGTTTTCGAAGCTCAGAATTCTCCGTTTCAAGCTTCTGCGTCTTTTGCCGGAGAATCATCACTTCTCCGAGTTCCTTATATGATTCTTCTTTAGCCTTTTGCTCCAGCTTTTGGATACGTTCCTTTTCTGTCTCAACCTGTTTTTGCAGCGCCTCGATGCGGCGGCGATACGATGCTTCACGGTTGAGATCCATGGCGGCCCGCGCCGCGGCAGCGCTTTGATTATTGACCTGTTTGGGTTGATTGCTGTTGCAATTAGCAGGTGAAGGTGCAGATGCAGAAGATGCATCCCGTCGTATTGAACTCCCTCCTGTTGTTCCGTTTGGCCTTGACTGGTTTTGCTGGCTAAGAGATATGGCTTCCTCTTCCAGCTGTTCCAATGCCGCACCATCTTTCCACATAGCGTCATTATCGCCCTCAAAGACGTCCAATTGTGGCATACCTGGCCTGTACGCAAGTCCTGGGTTCTGTACGATGATAGCCTGGTCTTGGGGTCCTGCAGGCTTTGCGGGCGACACCTGCCGCACGCCTCTGGCACTGACTCCCAGGTTTTGTCGCTCTTGCACTGCTGTACCACCAATTGCGTATTGACCATCTTCTCGGACGCTGATCTCTGGCATGATCTCGTCAAAGTCGGTCGGAGTATGTACAGGGTGCTTTCTCAGTAATGGCCGGCGCTGCCCAAACTGACTTGTCGATTTGACGGCTGCTTTGAGGCTATCAAGAACGGCAGGAGTGCTATTTTTATTCCCTTCAAAGCTATTTTCTGGGTCATATAGTCGGGGACGCTTTGCGAGTGGCTCGCGGAGTATCGCGTCTGCCTGCTCCACGGTGGTTGGAGCATTTCGAAATGCGCCCGCTGGGCGAGCAGAAGTACCCTGTGAAATGCCTGATCGACCATTTCGTGTGGGAGACTTCTGATTGTGGGCACCAGTCATCTGCTGCGTCGCTGTATGCGCGTTTTCGATCATGCTCATCACCGACTCGAGAGCCTCGCCGTCGAATTCAAAGTCATCATCGTCGAAGTCATCATCAGTCGGCAGCATTTTGGCGCTGATGCTGTTGGCGATATATGGAGCATGAGAGGCACCCTTGCTGCATGCAGCGGCGCAAGCTGGGCCGGACAGTCCTTTCACAAGTGTGCTGCGTCGACCGTCTTGAGCATAAAGCACCAGGAAGCTGCAGCGGACAGAAGATGAGGGTACTTAAAATGTTGCATGGTTGATGACGGGATCGCGTCGCGTCTTTCTTGCGGTGAGGAATGGAAAGCAGATTTGGAGTATTACTACCGTCAGCGCACACTGGATTCCAATGCGCAGAGGTGCAGCGACACTCTACGACGGTAGGGAGGGTTAATGGCTAGATTCATACAAGTCTGAGCTCCATACAGGCGCCTATATCATAGTCCACTATGAATACATAAGAGGGGGGACCTTGGGACGGCCCCATGCCGCGACACTTGGTAAATGCACGCTCACGTGATCCTTTCAGTCCTTTACAAGGTGGAAGCGGTTGACAGCGCTTATTTTTGGCAGCTGTTCACAAGCATCCTCTGAAGGTTCCACATCAACCTAGAAATTGATCCTCACCCATGGCGTCAAAAAGGCATAGCATGGAGAGGCTACCGGCAGCATTTAAGAGGGCTGTATTTAGAGGCTACGAGCCTGTTCTTCCGTGCTCTTGCTGGTCAATCGGCCGGTTGCAGGCTTCCCACGGTGCGACTGATCTGCAGGCTGCTTCCGCCTTCAAGCACCGGCAACCATGATGCTGTGGATACGCAGCCTGCAAAGGCTTCTGCCAGGGCTTCTACTTGTAGCTTTGGTACCCTCTGTTCTGTGCTCAGGGTCAGATCTGACGGGAACCCCTTCCATCCGAGTGGACTTGCGAGCGCCATGGTCCGCACCCCCGCCACTGCTGGAAATCCTCGAAGCTGTCAATTCGCTCGACTCGACCGCCTTCTTTGATGCGGTCACGCAGCTCACTGTCTCGGGCATTGCACAGAATACCAGTGCCAAGAAAGCTTCGTACAAAGAAATCTACGAAACGTCGCTCGAGGTCCTACAAAAGCAGGGCATCTTCAAGGCTCCCGGGGCTCGGGAGATCCTGGACCTCTCTTTGGCTCTACATAGCGAGTCCCCGCAAGTCGAGGCTTTTTGGCACCTGTATCGAACCACAGGTGTTGAAAAGCTTTACCGTGAGCAAGTAGTCGGAGAAGAAGCGCAACAGGCATGTAGAAGCTGGGCGCTCGTCCAGGGAAAGGTCATCTGCAGTGCACCAGCATTGGATGAGGCGTTGGCAGCAGGCAGCCCCACCAATCAGGAAGGCATGATCGAAGTACCCTTCGACCACAGCTTGTCTCCAACTTCAGCATCATCGCTTGTGCCAATGCCGACAGTCGTTCTATATGCTGACCTGTCTTCACCAAATTTCGCCGAGCTGCACGGAAGCTTGTACCGTCACGCCGTCGGCAAGTCGTCTCTACCCCTACGTTACATCTTACGTTGGCGACCGAGCGAAGAGGATCAGCGGGAGACGGTGTACCTTTCCGGATATGGCGCCGCTTTGGATCTCAAGAAGGTCGACTATCTGGTAATTGACGATCGAAAGCTCCGGGATGATGCGAATGTGACTGTAACTGGGGCTGCTGCTGCGGCGGCTGCTGCAGACACAGTGGCGTCCTATGAACAACTAAGCGCTGAAAGCGCTCTCTCAGATCGCCGATGGCTACAGGCGCAGATAGGCGGCAAGAAGGGAAGCACAGGTGCTGAAGACATCGGAGCCAAAATTTCAGAGGAGAACACGTTGAAGCTTGGATACAAAGCTGCACAAGTAATTGCGGCATCATCGGACCCCTTGCGTGCACTGCGTGAGCTGTCGCAGAATTTTCCTTTTCATGCTAAGCAGCTGTCTGGAGTCAAGCTCAAGAAGAACTTCTTGGATGAAATCACTCACAACCAAGATGTTCGTGTGGAGGCGGGCTCGAACGACGTCTGGCTCAACGGCAAGTCGATCCCGCACAAGGACGTCACCCCCCTTGGGTTTCTCAAGAAAATGAGGAGCGAGTCGATCCTTGTCCATTCTCTCACCGATCGGTCGCGCGGCGTTGGGCTCAGCCCGAAGGCAGCTGTTGACCTCTTATCCAACTCGACGCTCGGGAAAGCTTTTATTGGAAGTGCGTCAGAGCCAATCGCTGTTGACGCCAGCGATCGCATCGAGCGTGGCTTGCGCATGCTCTCTGGCGCTCTTGTGAACGGTGCAAGTACCTCAAAGCCAAGTGCAATCACCTGGTGGAACGACCTGGAGAAGGATGACGTCTTTGCACATTGGCCGAGGGATTTCAAGACGGTGAGGCTGTTCCAGCAAAGGTATGAGTCATTCTGATTGCTAAAGTCAATGATTTTCCAGCTCCTGCAACCTCTGTGGCCTGGGCAATTCCCGCAGATAGCGCGCAATGTTTTCCATGTCGTTCTTGCACTCGATTTGTCCCGCAAAGAGAGCTGCCGCTTCCTTGCCGAAAGCGTCTTTCCTGCATCGACGCGAATTGGACTCCGCTGGGGTCTTGTGCCTATTTGGGGCAGTGGAGATGGCCAGAGTGAGCAAATGGCCAGGACCGGGACGTGTAAATGCTTAGATGACTGATGGTTCTTCGGCGGGTCGCAGCAATCGCGCTCACACGCATGTTCTACCACATCTTCGATTCTCTGGGTCCGGACGGTTCTGCACGGTATCTCCGTCGTGTGGGTCTATCCGGAGTTCCAGAATCCACAACAATCAACCTCGAAGAAGCAAAGAAGGAGTTTGCAGCGGCCCTTGGCACTGTCGCGTCTCAAAATGAGATTCAGGAGATCCTGAAAAGGATCGACCCGAGTGACTCGGACTTCATGCAAGACCGTTTAAACACTGCTGTCTCTTACGCACAGAGGGTTGGAGCCAAATTGAGCAAGGGGAGGCTGGGACACGCCTTTGTCAACGGTTACCATGTTCCCTTCGACAATGGGATCAGCCAGAGTATCGGCCAGCAGGTCCAAGCGCAGCTTCAAGCGTTGGCCCCTCTGATCTACTATAACACCTTGAGCACAGACGCCGACCTTAGCAACCACTTTTACGATCAGGAGGATACGCTCACCTATCGATCCCCGCTGCTTAGCGCAGATGGCGCTTCTAATCTTACGACGAGGATGATCAATTTGGCCACACTTGAGCCGGAACTTTTGAATGAAGGCCCATTGTCGCGATACTTTGCTGCGAGACCAGACTCAGTCAATGTTACGATGTACATCGCAGGCGACTTTGACTCTGCAGGAGGTCAGGAGATGCTCGCTGCTAGTCTCGGCGCTCTTGAAGCTGGAAGTTTCCGATTGGGGCTTCTTCACCAACCGTCTTCTGCGCAGGGCAATCGGACGGTATCGACGGCGCTCTACACCCTCCTCAACAGTCACGAAGGCACAAAGCTACAGCCTTCGTCGATTCTCTCTGTTCTACCCGCCAGGCCTGAGCTCACACCAGGTGAAGTCAGCGAGGAGAATGTGGCGAAGGTTCATGCGTTGTTAGCAGCAGAAGACTCGGACGCCGCTAAGCGAGCACACGATTGGTGGGGCCGGGCTAGCCCCATGCTCGAGGCGTTAGGTTGCGGCGCCAAGAGCATCTGTCTGGTAGCGAACGGACGCGTCCTTTCAGGCTTCCGGGCGGCTGATGTCATTCCAGCTGACATCCAGGCAGTTGCTCAACTTGAAGGAAGCAAGCGTGCGAGAAAGGTCCAAGCCAGCCTCATTGAGCTCGCTGGGCGTCCATCTGGAGCAAGCCAAGACAGCCATCGCGTTGCACTTGCCGCCTCAGCTCTCGCCGCAGACTACGCTCCTGACGAGGCAGCAGAAGGCTTGTTCCGCACACCGCCTGCTCTGCGGCTCTCCGCATTTGACCGTATCGATATCATGCATAGTGGCTTCGAGATCGGTAACCGCGATAAGGCATCGTTCCGGTACACTGCGATTATCGATCCGCTGACCGAGACTGCGCAGCGCTGGTCGTCAATTTTGGAGATGGCGAGTCAATGGCCTAACACATACATCAAGGTCATTCTGAACCCTACGCCGAAGCTACGAGAAGTTCCCCTGCGACAATTCTACCGATACAGAGCTCCCGGAAAAGTCACGTTCGAAGAGGACGGATCAATTCGTCGAGACTCAATTCTTTTCACAGGTATGCCTGAAGATGCGGTCCTCACACTGGGCTTGGACACGCCGTCTGTTTGGCTCGCTATGGCAGAGGATGCTGTCTACGACTTGGACAATATTAGACTCAGCAGCTTACCCAGTGCATCCCGCTCCTCTGGCGTGAGCGCGACGTACGAGCTGAAGCGGATCCTCATTGAAGGTCATGCTCGAGATGGCCAACTCAACTCGATTCCGCGCGGCCTGCAGCTGTTGCTGGACACAGCCGACGGTCAAGAGCGACTGGATACGATTGTGATGGAGAATTTGGCCTACTTCCAATTCCGCGCCAAACCCGGTCTGTGGCATCTAAAGCTGCGAGAAGGCAAGAGCAATGGCCTTTACGAGATGCTGAGCGTAGGCAATTTGGGATGGAATAGTCCGAACGTCAATGTCACGGGAAATGTTGTGACGTTGGCTTCTCTCGAGGGATTGACGATCTACCCACAAGTACGCAAGCGTCCCGGCATGGAGGATGAGCAGCTGTTGGAAGATATTGACAAGGGGCCGGAGGCTCAAGACAGAGCTGGCAGCAGAGTTGCCGATGCTGCAAAATCCCTCCTCGGCTCCGTTTTCAGCAAGATTGCCTCTAGCACACCATCATTGACCAAACCACAGTCGCCGCACGCCGACATCAACATCTTCACAGTCGCAAGCGGTCATCTGTACGAGCGAATGACATACATTATGATCCTGTCGTGAGTTTTATCACAGGGTTCTCCTATTCTGTTTCATGCTGACGAGTTTCTTTAATCACAGCGTCCTGCGTAACACACAACACTCTGTCAAGTTTTGGTTCATCGAGAACTTCCTCTCGCCGTCCTTCAAAGAGTTCATCCCACACCTTGCAAAAGAGTACGGCTTCGCCTACGAGCTCATCTCGTATGCTTGGCCGCATTGGCTGCGGTCTCAGAAGGAAAAGCAGCGTGTTATCTGGGGCAACAAGATTCTCTTCCTGGACGTGCTCTTCCCACTCGACCTCGACAAGGTCATATTTGTCGATGCGGACCAGATCGTACGCACAGATATGATTGACCTCGTCAACGTCAATCTTGAGGGAGCGCCGTACGGCTACCCTCCCATGGGAGACGACAGCGAGGATATGGAAGGCTTCCGATTCTGGAAGCAGGGCTACTGGAAGCAATTCCTGCGCGGGCGGCCGTACCATATTTCGGCTCTGTATGTTGTGGATCTTGTGCGGTTTCGGCAAATCGCCGCAGGCGACCGCTTGCGTGGACAGTATCAAGCACTGTCCGCCGATCCCAACTCGCTCGCCAATCTCGATCAAGACCTGCCCAACAATTTGCAATTTTCGCTGCCGATTCACACACTCGACAAAGAGTGGCTCTGGTGCGAGACATGGTGCAGCTATGAGTGGCTGGACCGCGCCAAGACGATCGATCTGTGCTCGAACCCCAAGACCAAGGAGCCTAAGCTGGATCGTGCTCGGAGACAGATTCCCGAGTGGACTAAGTATGACGACGAGATCAGCGCCTTTGCAGCGCGCTTGAGTGACGAGAAGCGAATCGGGACGAACGTAGTGTCGTCAAAAGAAAGCGAGCAGGTTCCATCGGCTGTACAAGAGGGTGGTGCGTCAGCGTTGATTCTTCAGGGTGGCGACGAGCCGGCGCAAAATCAAGATGCGTTACATGTAGACACGCTAAAACACAAGCATGACGAGCTATAGAGCTGCATACTAATCACCTCGGAAATCGTACGCCCTTTGCTCGATTTACGAGCTCTCTATGGTACACCAAACGTTGTCCGTTAATCTACACACACACCCCCCGCAATGTGAGCTTATTGCGCACCATACTTCTGCCTGTACTCCTTCATGCCCTGGATCGCCTTCTCATTATCTTCGCCGCCTAAGCTCTCGATGTACGTGATGATGTCGGCGAGCGTGACAACAGGTACGACAGGGACACCATACCTGCGCTGGACCATGCTGACGGTGCTCTCTGGAGATTCTTCCGTCGCTCGTTCCTGTCGGTCGAGCGCGATGACGATGCCGACCATCTTGGTCTCTGCAGCTGCATCGCCTTTGGCGGCATTCGTCTTGGCGGCATTTTCGATGATTGAAACTGCTTCACCAATGGCTGTACCTGCTGTCATGACGTCGTCAATGACTAGAACTCGTCCCTGCAGCGGCGCGCCGACCAGCGTGCCGCCTTCGCCGTGTGTTTTGGCTTCTTTGCGATTGTAGCAGAAACCGACGTCGATTCCATGGTCCCGCGAGAGTGCCAGTGCTGTGCATGCTGCCAACGGGATACCCTGAGGAGAGCGCACATAAATCGAGATCCAGAAGAGGACCTTCAGCTCCGGAAAACCAATGTCCAGCCAGCGGACAATTTAAGACTGCGCACCTTGTAAGCTGGGCCGAAAAGGACATCAAACTGAACCCCGCTGTTTACGATGGCACTGGCGTAGCAGCTGGCTACTGCGTCTATCTTTGTGCCTGTGTTGAAGAGACCCGCATTAAAAAAGTACGGGCTTTTGCGCCCCGACTTCAGCGTGTAAGGCGCGCCATCGAAGGAGAGGATGCCGGACGAGAGGGACAGGGACAGGTACGAAGTTTGGTAGGCCTCCAAGGCGGTGTTGTCTTTGCTTTTGGGTGCGGACATGGTGGCTTCTCAGATTTCGGCTTCGAGAAGATTTGGCTTGAGCTGTTCTTGTCGACGCTGAGCAGGTTTTCAATCGCGAGTCTCTTACCTTGATGCGAATTGCGGTTGGAAGAACGGTAACAAGAAAGTTGACGATCTCGAATACTGGACACCCGATGGGCCGAGTCACCGAAAGAGATATGTTCTTCTTTTTCTTTCTTTCTTTCTGTTTCTTTGTTTTTGCTCGGAAGGTCCGAGCTGCGCCAAAAAAGAAAAAAGTCCAACAAGCCCATGGGCATATGATGTTGTCGCACGCTCAAGCCTCTTTGCAAGCCGCAATGGCAGCTTGCGAATGAGGCCCACGCGCTCATGCTCAACCACCTGCTGGATGTCTGTGACGGCTCTTATCGTTGGGACGCACGATGCGGTGAAGCAGGGCCGAACTCAGCGCTAAAGAGGAGCCTAAAAGCGACAGCGAGTCTGCGCCATGTGCTCGGCGCAACTAGCTCTCGCATTCGAGGTTGCTTCGGCGCGTTGATCCAGCGCAGAGCCGACAAGCACGGTCGCACATCGCACATGTAAGAACATTCCTCGTTGATTTAAGGTTGTCCTTCAGCTTGCGTCCTGGGAGCAAAATGGCCAGCGCTATTCAGCGACTGTTCCTCAAAAAGAGTCGCGAGAAGGAAAGACAGCGCGAACGCGACAAGCCAAGGACGACGCCAATTTCTAATGTCGCTCAAGGTAAAGGTGCAGCTTCGCAACATACGCCAAGCGCTGGCGATGCATTCCCCGACACTAAATGGGGAGCAGATGAAGAATCTTCACAAGATGCTACGCTGGGCCATTCTGCAGGCCGGTCCGCCTTGAGGCGATCAATTCAGCTCCTCTCTTTAGGGGGCCGTCCTGCAGCTGCAGATAACACGGCATTTCATTCAGGAGTGGCTCTTGGCTCTTCGATTTCGAACCAGCTGTTCAACCAGATTGCATTTCCCTCGCCCTCTTCGCCGGATCCCTCTGACGATGTACGAGCCCCCACTGCCCTTCATGATGGGCTGCCGACGCGTCCACCGCATGACCGCTCGCACTCGAGGAGTCGCCCGCGCGCAGTTTCGCTGGACGCGGTACGGACGCTTGGGCCTCCGCAGAAGCAAGAAAAGCCTACTTCCACCCATGCAACAGCAGCCCAAGATCTAAACAGTCGTTCGCGTTCCCGACAGCGTACGAGCAAGTCATCATCGCTTCTCGACTTCGGCACATGGCTTCCCTCTTCGCTCAACTTTGGACTCGGAGGCGCAAAGTCTGCAGAGCCAACGCCTTCTCGCGGTCGAGCACAGTCAGAAATCCTGGGAGATGAAGATGCCGCGGCGAGAGGACGTACCCACAGTTCTGCCACTTCTTTGCGATCTGCCAGAGCCGAAAGTCTCACATTCGTTGTTGGTACCAAGCCTAGCGGAGGAAGTTCTACAATGCATACCGCTTCCCACTCGCAAACCGCTTTTCGATATAATAGTACCCCTTCGGGACAAGATACGACACGAACCACAAGTATGGGCAGCTTTAGTAGCGGCAGAGGGGGAGACATGATACGCGTAGAAAGCAGAACAGGGCCGCTGCTTCCGCCGAGTACACTGTGGTCCACAGATGCAGATATGCAGTCCTCCTCTTCTGGGCTTTTCGAAGGAGTCACAGTGGCTGGTCACGGCACCGCAGCAACGGATGAGAGGAAAGCCGAAGACGACGGGGACGAAGAAGACATCGAGTCCAATCCCATCTATCGCGCGCTCGTCGACTTTGTTGACCGTGGGGAGGAGCGACAACCCTCAGCGGCTGGCAGCTCCTTACAACGTGCTCATATCGTCCTTCTACCTTCTCTGCGTGCGCTTCGCACCTTCTCGCAGGACGAGCATTCCGCTGCCGATTCTCTACCAGCAGCATTGAAGTGCTATGCGTACATCGCATTGCATGCTCTCGTACCCTCGAGGCTGTTTAAGGACACCTACGTTCCAGTACAGGCGACGGGGTGCAGAAGGATGGGGAGAGGCAGTCCGGACGAGGAGGAGCGGAATGAGGAAGAAACTGCCTCGATTTCACCGCGCAGCGACGGACAGAGCAGCAAGACTGACCCGTGGACGGCAGCAAAGCTTCGTGTCTCCGTCGGCGCAGATCGAGGTACCTTCAGTATCACCTTCAAAGATCCAGCTTCTACGCGATGGGGTCGGTCCGGCGTGACGCGTGTGCGACGCGTGCTGAGCGAAACCACCGTCTATCTCCCGACGCTGGATGGAAATGCGGAGTATCGCGTACGCATCGTAGTGCTGGACGGCTTGGTTGTCCCCTTAGGAGACGAGTTGGCGCCCTTCGAATTCGACCAGGTGGCCTTTCCGGTGACTGCCTCACCAGACTTTGCTTTATCTCCAGCGAGCAGCTCGGCTGTAGACACACAATGGGCTTCTCTTCCGGTCGCAGAAGCGGCTCACACCCTCAGCCGTAGTCCCGGGTCGGCCGTGGGCTCTATATCCTGCTCTTCAGTCCGGTTGGCGCGCACTTTCAGCGCTCGTTCGCTAGCGTCTTCTTCACATGGGTCCCATGCAGGGGATGAACACCCCATCCTGCAGCATATATCGCCGGTCCGAAACCTGGCTGAGGACCTGCGGATATTGCTCGACGCTTGTCCACCGGCGCAATTTGCAGCCCTTGGCCTCAAGTCTGCGCTCCGAAGGGCATTCTGTGTCATGCAAAATGCTGCCTCGCAGTTCAACAGTTCTTTCGTCTATGTCTCCGGTTTCGAGGAGTACAACGCGGCACGGATTCGCAAAGGCATCTTCCTCAAAGCCTGGCAGGCATTTGAAGATGCGCGCAGAGCGGACGAGCAACTACACACGGAGCACGAGGCTGACGAGTCACTCCCTCACCGTGCCAAAACACGGGTGATGAGTGTACTTGAAAATATCACCATGGCACTATGCCACGAGAAGGTGTACATGTCTCTCAGCAAGACGAAGCGAGCAGAAGAGACGGCATTGGACGAAATTCTGCGGCGCTATGGAGAGCACGAGTTTTCTCTTGATGACTTTGATATTGGAAATAACCCTTTGAAGCGGCGACCCGATTTTCTCGACAAGGCGATTGACATTATCACAAGCATGCCTCAACCGGATGTGACACTTCCCAGTCCGTTGCAGTATCTAGAAGAGGCATCTCATGGAGGCTTTGAAGCAGCAAGGCTGCATCTACGAACACCACTTGACGCGCTGCACATCTTCAAAGCAGGCCTCGAGGCTATTCAAGATGCAGCAGTAGCTGCCGCTGCTTCCCTAAGTTCGAAGCAGCACGCATCGCAAACCCTCTCCCCCCGTACTGACGTACACGTGTCAAGCTATCTGCTTTCCACGGACGAGCTTCTCCCACTTCTGGCGTACGTGCTTGTCAAGGCCGAAATCAAGGAGCTCGTCACATTGCTAGCCTACATTCAACTGTTTCGGATGGGCGAAGACGATGTTCCGAATTTGCGGTACGTTGCTACATGTTTTTATATGAGAAACGCTCACGAAGGCTGATTCATGGGCATGCTGCCGGGTCCAGGTGGGTATCCACCACGCTGGCTGCTGCTGTCCAGTACCTGCGCTCCGATCCCTTGCGAGAAGTACTCGCTGAACGCCCTCAGCTGGCAGCATCGTCACTGTCGCGGTCGAGCAGTTTGCAATCAGCGCGTCCGACCTCGCCCGCGTCTCTGCGAAGCGCAGATGGATCTGGCTTTACCCACGTGTCGCAAAGATATTTCCCGCAACGTAGTCCCAAGGCTCACAGCACTTTTTTTTCAGACGAGCGGCGGCGCAGCTTGCCTCTCAGCGCCGCATACGCAGGCATGTCGCTCGAAGATGCTCTCAAAGCGCAAGAAGAGGCAAGACCTTCGAGTCCTAGCAGCCAGGATTTTACGGACAAAGATGGTTTCAAGGTACCTTCCTTACCCGCGAGTGCATCATCATCGGGCACGGCCGTTCGCAGCAACGGTGGGCGGAGCCGCGGATCGTCAGAGTTGCAGATCAGGCCTCAGCTGATTGTTCGACACCGACGGCGGCATCTTTTATCTTCTGGTTCTGGCGCTTCGAGTGGGTCCGACCAACCTCAGAGTTCTCCACAAGAGAGCACCTTCCGTTTGCTTCGTACACAGAGTTCTCACGGTCGAGAGGCCACATCGTCTTCGTTCGATGCCCGGAGGCGGAGCATCGACGCCCTCAATCCCATCAGCTGGCCCGACGAGTTTCACGAGCCCAGTAGCTCGATTTTCATCCGGTCAAGCTCCATCTCCAGCATCACGCAGACGAGTATCGAGTCGCCAAAAAGCAGTGGATTTTCTCGGCGGCCGGCGTCTGTGCGGTCCGTGTCCTCGATCCCCGATGACCGACCCGGGGATGGCACTAGCCCTAGCACCGGCAACAGTACCGGCACGGGCACCGGTAGCCTGCCCCGCTCGTCGACCACAGGTCGGCGCCGCAAGCACTCGCACGCTCTGCTGCTCGGCTCGAATGCGAGCAGAGGGGCTCCGATGGCACCCGTCTCGGATCCCGCACTCGCAGCGGCACAGGCACAGACCATGCCTCCTGACAGCAGCGACAGCGCCGTTGGCGGCGTGACCAAGAGTCAGTTGCTGTACAACATGCCTGCTCCTGCCTTTCTGCATCGTGTCCATGTTCCGTCGCCGGTCGCAGAACTTTCAGACCCATTTTCAAACATGCGAATTTCCCGCTGAGCGCGCATCGACTAGCGACGCGCGACTCCGTCTGCAAATGACCCTTGGTACCTCCGCCTGCCCTTGTCTGAGCGGCCAGCAACCCTCGCCAGCCTCTCTCCGCAGCATCATTATCCATCTGTAGCCTGCGTCTTTCAGACACGATCGCATGATCTATGAGCTCGACATGTCTGCATGTGAATTGTCCCCGGTGACGCGTGATGATACAGTATAGCTTTGCGCTGCCACGTCCTTGTGCTTCCCTTTTCTCAGTTCCTGGCCGCCGAGCCGTTGGGTGGTGCGGGACCTTCCTGCGCGGAAGCGGCGGCAGCGGAGAGCTTGGTGAGGTGGTTGTAGAACGCCACGTGCGACGCACCGGGGCCGTTCTGGTAGACGAAGCTCGCGGCCACGAACGCGGCAAAGGCCGACTGAAGGTACGTGCGCGGGACGCGGTCGAGCAGGGCCTCGAGACCGACCTTTTTGATGAGGGTCTGCGGGAAGACCTGGGCCATGACGGCGTTGCGCAGCTCCTTGTTGTTGAACAGGTCCGTCGCTTCGAGCTCCTGGGAGAGGTTGTTGAGCGTCGTCGACAGCTCGGTGGAGATGACCGAGCGCGGCTTGCCGCTCTTCTGGTGCTCGCGCCAGATCGCGTCGAACCTGGCAAGAGAGGCATGCAAACGGGTGGTGTGAATCAGCACAGAGCTCTTCCCGTTGTTGACCTCTACAAAGGAGCGACTCACTCTTGCGCAGCATTCTGCGCAATGATTGTCTGGATGTCGCGGACGTAGCCAAGGTAGAAGTTGGTCGGCTTGCCGTCCTTGAAGAGCATGTTGTCGATGTACTCTTCGTCCGTCAGCGACAGTCCGCAGAGCACCTCGAGGGAGGAGGAGGTGACGCCGCCTGCGAAGCGCATGAGGCAAGAGCAAGTCAAGGCAAAGAAAGGAGGAATGAATTAATGAATCAATCAGCATGGGAAGCAACGTGTTAACTACCGGCCAACGGCTACGACGCACCCTTGTTGGCCGACGCGTCCGGGTAGAGAATGACGCCGCGCTTCTCGAGTTCGAGGCGTGCCTGACGCGTGATGAAGAGGTTGGCACCCTCGACGATGTACTTGAAGTGGCACTTGCCATCCGCGTCAAAGAGTTTGCTCACGTTGGAGATATTGATCGCCTCGGGGCGGCCACCGCATGGGACGAACATGTCCGCCTTGAAGACTAGGTGGGCCGTGTTGCGGAAGCTGAGACCGTCTGGGACGACCTCGCCGCTGGGGAGGCGGACGTCCTTGTCCTCGACGAGCACGCGGTAGCCGCCGGGGCCGAGCTTAGCGGTGTCGAAGTGGACGATCATGAGGCGTGCCTTAGCGAGGCGCACGAGTTCGGCGCGGTCCAGACCGCTGGGGTCGTATAGGACACCGGAGCCGTCAATGATGGCGACGGTGCGGTCGCGGCTGAGGAGGATCTCGTTGGAGCCGAGGTCGCCGTCAGGCCCGCCGGTCTGGACCTTGGTGACGTCCTCCTCCTTGAGGCCGAGCATGCGGTAGATGCCGATGACGTACTGGCGGATGCTGAGCGAGGTCATGCCCCAGACGTCGTGTGGGACACCGCCGAGCGTCGCGGCGGTTTTGCCGGTGGTGAAACTCTTCCACCAGGGCGCGCCACGCTCGCGGGCGTGCTCGGCGCCCCAGTCCATGCAGTCGGCGGTGCCCTCGTCGGGGCCGAGGAAGAGGATCTCGTCGGTGCCGAGTAGGTCAACGATCTCCTCCTTAACGCCGGGCGTCTCGCCCTTGATGAGCAAGTCGAGGATAGCGTCGACGTACTTTTCAAAGCATAGACGTGGGTTCGCGTCGAGTGTCGGAAGGATGGTGCCCTTTGCGCCGCCCTCGGGGATCTCCTTGTTCTTGAGGTGCTGCGTGCTGGCCAGCGCGTAGTTTTCGTCAAACAACATACGCTGGTTGATACTGTAGTTCTCGCGGTTGCGACTGCGCACGATGCGGATGCCGCCGCGGGCGACGTCGCGGAAGCGGACGTGGAAGCCACGGAACTCGGAGCCGACGACAAAGACGATGCCGTACGGCTTGGTCGGGTACTCGACCTCGGGCAGGAAGCCCGGGTCGAGGCGGAAGGAGAGGGCAACCTTGGTGGGAGTGTAGAAGTTGGTCTTGAGCACAGCCTTGTTGAAGAAGAGGAGCGCCTCAAGGACCTGTGCCTCGTGCGTGTTGCTGGCAGCCTTGCGGATGCGGTCGTACATCTGCTGATCGCTCAACACCTCCTCCTTGACGAGGCGCTGGTAGCTGAGCGTTGGCACGAGCTCGTCGTCGCCAGCGCCACCGGGGTAGTGGATGTTGGCAAAATGGACATACAGCAGACGGATAAGGTCCGGGTGCGAGTTGATCACCTCCTGGATAGACTGGCGCGTAAAGGTTTCCTCGCGGAAGCGCGTCTTGATCTCGTTGAGAATGGCGGCCTGTTGTGCGTCTGTTTCGTCGAGCGCGTTGCGCAGCGACTGGTACGCCTGGCCGAGGCGGTTGCAGAAGTGCTGCGCAAAGAGCCAGCCGACGTAGGCGTACGTTGCCTCCTGCACCGCGTGCCCTGCTGCTGCGCCGGTGATGAGCCCGGCCGGCTGGAAGAAGGGATTGTCTGGGAGGACGTAGATGAGCGACGCCTCTTTGATGATCTGGTGGATGCTGTGCTCGATCGGCGGGTACTTGGTGCCGCCCGCGTGCGTCGGCAGCGGGTTCAGGTAAGCGGAGATGATGGTGACCCCGTTGGAGAAGTGCTCGACGTACTTGCGCGATGAGAAAAGGCCGTAGAAGTGGTACAGGTCCGAGAATGCGCTGAAAAAGTTTGTCGTCGTGCCCATGCGGTAGCCGATGACGACCCGGTGCTCGCGTGTCCCCTCAACTTCGAACATTTCTGCGGATGGAAGTATGAACGTGGCGGAGAGAGTGAGGGGGGAGAAGGTGAGCCACGCGGCGAATTGCGGAAACGACACTGCTGCTGCTGGCACTGCTTACCAATGACAGGACCCTGCCTCCTGAGGACCTCATCCATGACGTCCTGGTACATGGCGAGCGTGTTCTCGCTTGCCTTGGCGAGGAAAGCGTTGTCACTGACTTTGCGAATGTCTCCGTAGTCTGGCGTGCCGGGCGCAGGGGCAGGGGTGGCAAAGGTGCACTTTGTGAGGAAGTAGCAGCGGAGCTGCTGCTTGGACTGCGCACTGACGCTGCCGGCGGAGCGGTACGTCTCGAGGCGGAACGCGCCGAAGCGGCCCTCCGACGGCGCTGGCAGTGCCTTGGAGGAAGAGTGGGACGCGCCAACGTCGGACTTGTTGAGCCACTTTTCGTCGATGCGGCGCTCCCACTGCGGCCCCTCGCCCTCGGCGCGGCTGCGGCCTGCCTGCGAGGAGTGGATGAAGACGGCAGAGGAGCCGTCATCGGTTTCCTTCTCAAGATCTATGTCGAGCGAGGAGGAGTGCTTGGTGTATGCGAGCATCTTGGCGCCAAATAGCGCCATGACGTGGTCGCCGACTGTGTCGACAGACTCGAGCGCAAAATACGTGTCGTCGATGCCCAGGTTCCTGCGTGTGGGGGCGCATACAGTCAGCGGATCTCGAGCGGTGACGGCGACGCGTCTCAGGCAGCATGTGTCCTCACTGATAGAACCACGCGACCTCCGCATCGACCAGGTCGGGTGGAATGAATCCTTTCGCCTTGAGCAGCTGCTGCACTTTGGCCGCCTGTTCTGCTTTACCGGCAAATACCGTGTCCGTGTATCCGCTGCGGGAGGGGAAAAGAAATATGACGCTCTAGTCAGGCGAATAAGTCTGGAAGAGGAAAGGGGCGAGGAGTGCGCACCTGACATTGGGAATCTTGTGGTCGAGGGGCGTGTGTGTGCGCTTGATGGGCGTCCCAGAGCCGTTGATGCCGCTGGGGGTGCCGGGCACGGAGAGCAGGGCGGCCTTGATGTTCTGCATGTTGGCCAGTCCTGCTGCTGAAGATGATGCCGACGACGCAGACGCCGGGTTCGCTTGGCAGTTTGTGCTAATGCTTGTCATTGCGATGGGTTAGCCTGTTGTAGCGCCTTGCTGCGAATTCTATCGCGTGTGAAGAGCAAGCTGCGGACCAATGTCCGATCGGCTCGTTGTTTCGCGTGCAATCGATGAAGCAGGACGACCAGGGTAGGATACCTCTATTGTGCGTCGTGCGGCGGCGGCTGACTATCGGGGAGAAGGGGGTCCGCGTTGCAAGCAAGCAGGGAAGAAGATGGGGAGGGGAAAGAGGAAAGGGATGATTGATGGAGTTGGTCGTGTCAACTACTGTCTGTTGGCCAAGCCAGCGCGCTGTGGGATGGGGGTGGTAGGAAGGAACAAGGCTGTCTGCCTGCCTGCCTATCTATATACAGCAGAGACGCACCCAAGCGAGCGAGCGCTGTGATGCGCTGCTCTGGCGCGCTGCTCTGGTGCCCAGAGACATCGGACTCTGATAACCCGCGGCACAGCCGAGGGGGACATGTAGCAACACAGCACAGCGGTTGCTTGTGGCGCGCTCTCCCTCTCGCTCTCTTCCCTCGCCAAGTTCCGCTTTGTACATCAGACCGAGTTCTCGTCCATTCGGTAGACTGTAGTGGACAACGCACACCCGAGACTCATCGGGCCCACAAACGCTACTCACCTAATGGTCTCAGAACCGACAGTTGGTTGCTCTGTCTATCTATGTGTGACGAGTGAATCAGTGCGGGCGATGCGCCTGCTTTTCTTTCTATCCCGCTGGAGCGAATGGGGAAGGGACAATGAAGGGGCAGCAAAGATGGATATATATACAGTATATATATATATAACACAGAGCGGAGAACTGGTGCTCGCCTCTCCACAAAGCAGCAAACGCAATGGAAGCGAGAAACGTGCAGTTAATCTGTTGGGCGCTCTTCTTCGCCAGGCACCGTATTCAGTGACAGATGGTTGTTGCCCGTGGGGAGATGGATCACGTTCATGTTTTGCTGGCCAAAGTAGAGTGGGCAGTCGGCACAATGCTGGTTGGTCTCCAGGGTGTGCAAAGACACATTCGTTGTGGCCCTTCATCGCCGATGAGCTCTTGAGTGTTGGTCCACCGAGCACCCGCAGGCTGCAGCCTGCAGCTTGCCGAGGACCAATTGTAGTCGCAACTGCGAAAGGGACTTCGCCCGATGTATGTACCCCATCCTTCCCCCCTTACCCCAGATCCGCGCCTGAAGCACCAACGAACGAGGATGTGCACATTTCGCTCCCGCCCCACCCCGCCCTCTTCCGTAAGACTCGCGAGGCTGCCAGCTGTCATTACACACCAGAAAAGCACGCAATGCAACGCAGCTATTCTCTTTGCTTCTCTTCTCTTCACTTCTCCCTTCTGACTCTTCTCCGTTGGCTGGAAAACGAAGTGTGAGCAATCGTCCACCGCTCAAGCGCGCGAGAAGCAAAAAAAGAAAGCACGGGTCGAGAGCAATGGTAGGAAGAGTTGGCCCGCGGCTCAGTAACGCCACCCCCAACCCTCCCCCCGGACAGCCCCCGGACAGCCCCTCGGCTCTCTTCGTCACGTTCCTTTGCGCGGTCGGTATGTGCATATAGCACACCCAACCTCTGGTCTCTCAGCGTTGCGTTGACTTTACCGTGCATTATGTACACGACAAAGGCAAGCGGGATCGATGCACGGCATGCAAGACATAAACTATATGGGCACGCAGATGAGGTGGGCCCGCGGCAAGGGTTGCGTTACATTGCGCTCACCTTAAATGTATTCACTTCATCCGAGTTCCGACACCATCAAAGCTGGACACTGCAGTGAGCGTACATACGAGGATCTTCCCATGTACATATATATTCACATTGAGACTTGACTAGGTATCGTAGAAGTTGCTCAAGCAGAGCGCAAAGAGGACTGCCCTCAATTGCTTACGTAATCACAATATTTTTACCTCTCCAGTCTCTTTGTAGGGAGGAGAGACAGGCGAGGACAGCTTTCTTCTTAGAACGCCTTGGCAGTTAGAGCGTGCCGGCCGTCAATGCTGCTCCTTTTCACGCACCAATCGCAGCGAGCACAGACTCGAGCACTCATGTCAGGTATATCCCTGCGTGCGCCGCTGCGCGCGTTGCAGCGCGCTCCCGTGGCGCATGCGCAACAGCCACTGTGCGCTTGCCGTCCGGCCTCAGCTGCCGTGGCAGCGGCATCAGCAGCTTCAGGCGCACACCATCCTGCGCGTCGTGCGGTGCACGCCACACGCGCAACCCACCTGCCGGAGCAAGCCAAACCCGCAAAGCCCGCGATTCAGGCAATCGCCGCGTTGCGCCAGCGTGTGCCCGGCACATCGCTGCTGAAAGCGCGCGAGGCGCTGCTCGCCTCGCGCGCCGCCTCTGCTCCGCACACGGACGACGTCGACGCCGCTGTGCGTTGGCTCGACACTGACCGCCAGGCACAGGGCGCCGCGCGGGCTGCCAAGGTCGCCGCGCGCCGCGCCGCCGAGGGCGTCATCGCCGTGTGCGTCCGCACTGACGGCCTGCCGGCTCGCCTCGCCACCACACACGCCGCAGAGCCGCAGCTGTGCGTCGAGCTCAAGCCCGAAGCGAAGCGCGCCGGATTCTCACTCGACTCACCCCCGCAAGCGGCCATTATCGAGCTCAACTGCGAGACGGATTTTGTAGCGCGCAACCCGCTCTTCCAAGAGCTTGCGCGTGACATTGCCCACACCACTGCCCTGTTCCCCGCACTGTCCGGCAGCATCGACGCGAGCAGCAGCAGCAGCAGCGCCATCGCGCGACCCGTGCAGGACATTGACCTGGCACAGCTACTCACATTTCCGCTACTCAGCAGCTCGCCGAGCGCCGAGTCGGCGCCTGTGCTTGCGAAGCCGAAGCTGATCTCCGAGGCGATCATCGACGCCATTTCGCGCCTTGGCGAGAAAATCACTCTCAGCCGCGCCGCTGCGCTCTCGCCGCCGTGCGCGGCGCATGAGGGCGGCGGCGGCATGATGCTCGCCAGCTCCTTCGCTCACGGCGTGCTTCCCGCCGCTGCGCCGAGCTCTTGCGCGTCGTCCACGGCACCCGCGGCCCCTTTGCCCGCACAGACCGCCCAGGGGTACAGCCTGACGATGGGTAGAGTCGGCTCCCTGCTGCTGACGCACTTCCCGCAGCGCGCGTCCAACGGTAACGGGGGCGGCTCCTCAAGCACCAACGCGAATGTCGACAATGCACAGTTGGCCAAGATGGTGCGCGCATTGGTACGCTCCCTCGCTCGTCAGACTGCCGGCATGCAGACGTCTTCGATCGGCTCAGTGGAGGCGGGAGCGGCACAGGCAGACGAAAGCAGCACAGCGCTGCTGGACCAGCCGTTCATGATGCTCCTCCCATCTGCCCTCCCTCCCGTTGAAGCAGCAGCAGCAAGCGCGCTGCCCGCGGCGCTTGACTCATCTCAATCCGTGCGCTCCGTCCTGGTCGCGTGGTCGCAGAAAGTCCTCAGCGGGCAGCCAGCCATAGAGGTGCTAGGTATGCAGCGCTGGGAAGTCGGCGAGACGCTCGAGCCGAGACAGCAAGGCGATGGCGCACTCGACTTTGCGGCCGAGGTCAGGAAGGCTGCTGGGTTGGCATAAGGGCCATTGCTCGGTTCTTCATGGCAGGCGTCTATCGTCAGATGCGACGCGCTCATCGAGAGCGAGTATCCTGCCGACCAGAGCATAGCGAGTTGATTTATGTGTATCGTCTCTCTGCTACAATCCGATATAGGACTTGCTCGCGATGCCCGTGACGCCTCTCTCCAGTTCATGAGACCTTCTCGAGTCATTTCACATGTACCTGCTTCGCAGCTCGCTTTTGTACGCTCTGGTTCGCTCGCATTCCTGGGCTCGCGGCCCCCATAGCAAGTCGCCGAGGGTTCAGAGAGCATGAAGCGCAACACATATGCTGCAATCCTTTTGTCCCGTCTTCAACGACCAGCTCTGATGTATGAGCGGTGCCTCAAGTGGCGAGGAATATACACCAAGTCGAATTCGTTGGGTTCCGTCCACAAAAGTAGCACATCCAAATTCCAAACACCGGCCGGGCCGTCCGTGCTTTAGGGACCATCTGCTTTTTGGCTGGAATGTGAGCCGATTGCATCGTGGAGTCACGTCTGTCAGATAATCCGGTGATATTTGTCTCTACTCCCCGGATTTCCCCCTGGTCCATCGCCCTGACGTGATCGACCCACAAACCATCATTCAACGAACAGCATCTCGACTGATCGCTTCCATTTGTCCTCGTCCATCTTCTAGGAGTCGCTCGCAGCTCGACTCTTGCACCCTCCTTCTGCCTCCTCCTTGTCAAAAGACATACACCCGCTCGCTCGATCGCTCGCTATCCTCACATGTATTAGCAGGGACCCCCCAGCCCCTCTCTCCGCAAAACTCCATCCTTCACGCGTGGTGCATTCTCTGAAGCCGCGCTTGCTACCCAACCGTGCAATAAAGCTGCCATTCTCGAAACAGAAAAATACTTAAGGTAGCAAGACCCAAAGGGAAGAGCACAAGCAAGAATCGTAGTAGGAAGCATAGCATAGCGTAACCCCGCCAGGCAACCATGGCCTGCCCCGTCAACTCGCCATTCTACCAAGCCCTGCTGATACTCTTCGGCGTGATCATCGTCATTGCGCGGCACGTCAAGGGAGACCAAAGCGCGTTGCTCCACGTTTCGTAGGCAAAGCAACCGATGCGGAAGGTGCTCGGGCGCTCGCGTAGTATATGGCGGTCCAATGGGAGGCGCGGTCAGAGCCATGGCGCAGGGTTGCGCCACACTTGGACGTAGGAGACCTTGCTCAAGACGGTAAGCATCCTTTGATGATACAGCAGCTGGCTTCAATTTGCTGATTCCTTGGCTCGCTTGCTTTAGAACCACGAGCATACAGACCTCTTCCAGCTTCCTCTCTTACGCATCAGACATACGATTGCAAGGGTCATACGGCACTCAGGCTACCGGCCGCTACTGTTTGCGCCTTCCTAATCACCTTATTTATCACACCAAGCTTTACCCATGTCCGGTACCTCGAATCCTTGCAGTCCGAAATGACCAGTCCGTCCATGTGACGGATATTGTAAAAACGCTCATAGAGGAAAGGAATCATCTCGCCTACCGTTCTGCCATGTTCATCCATGGATTCAAGTCGCTAGCTTCCGTACCGCTGTTGTACAACATATACTGCCCCTTCAAACGGATTGAACGCTCAAAGGACCTGCGCTTATTTCTCGCAGCTGCAGTACTCTACCTCGCAACCAGTTGAATGCAGTGTGTATGACACGGGTGTAGAGTACAATGGCGGAACGACCGTGGCCGTGGCCGCGGCCGAGAGCGAGAGCCGGAACCGAAGCGGGACATGCCGAGAATCGGTTGTGGTTTAGTACCGCTGCAAGGTTGTGTGACGGGAGTGGGAGTATGGGAGAGGGCGAGAATGATAGGGGGAGAGTGTGTACGTGTGGGAATGTACGCTGAGTGTGCGATGAGAAACAACCGTTCATTGATACCTTCTTGTAAATTGCGTGCATTTCGTTCATTCAACCTGAAGAGCCGCACGATGGAAGCCTGTCTGCACGGGGAAAGGAGGATGTGGAAGATGACGTATCGAATGATTACAGAGTCGACGAAAGCCGGCCAAAAGATCGGTCGGAGATGGATGCCTTTGCCTTTACCCAAATTCCCTTCGCAAATGCATCCAGTGTGTAGTCGTCGCAGTCGGGCACTGCTGCCCGGCTGGATACCTGTTACTTCCCACGTCGTCGGTTCGTTCGCCTCCAGAGAGGCTGCCCCTTGCTACCATTCCCGCTCTAGCCGGACGCGACACCAGTCCGCATCTGAGAGCGCACGTATTCATTCCAGCCGTTCTGATCTGCGCCCTCCGCGGCCGCCACTCCTATGCCGCATACATTAGTCCCAAAGTGGGCCTCCGGCGCCACGGCGCAGCAGCTCTCAATGAGCGTGTTTGTGTTCCCGTTTTCTTTTTTTTTGTTCGCACTGGCTACGCACGCGCCCAGCACGACGCATTGCGCCGTGGCCTGTCCCTTTCCGTTGCGCCCCTGCACCAGACCCTGCTTCTGCATCCATAACGCGCCTCTCATACACACATGCGCCGCCTGCGCCCGCGCATGCTTAGATCCGGCCGTTGAAGCGCGCAAGGCCGACAGTGGCAGCCGCGACAGCAGCGGTCCCGCCGATCTGGACGCCCCAGCCGTGGAAGAGACCCCGGTACCCCTCCTCGTTGAGGATGCGGTTGAAGGCGTCGATCGGCCCGGAGTATGGCTTGGGGCGCAAGACGACGAGGGCGCTGCTTGCTGCGCCGGCGGCGGACAATGCGGCTTCCTTGACACCGTCGATGACGCTACTGTCCTCCGACGACTGCTGAGCCTGCAAGCGCTTGGAGATCGTCTCAAGCGCGACATTGACAAAGCGCACGGCAATGCCAGCGGCGGCGACGGACGCGAGCGTGCCGATGGTCTTCCACTCGTCCTTGCTGAGGCGGCTGATGCCACGTCCGGCGCCGGTGCCGGCGAGTGCGATGAAGATCTCCGTGATGGGCACGCTGACGAGCGAGTTGGCAATGTTGCCTGTGAGTGATGCGAGCAGCTCGAGCACCATGACGGCCGGCTTGAACAGCTTGTATGGGGCGGCGCGCTCGGCGGCATCCGTCGTTGCGTTCCAGAATGCGCGTGGGTCCGCGGCACCGAGCGTGGCGAGCGTCGATGAGCTGGACGAGTCGGACGAAGTGGCGAGTTGTGCGTATGCCGTTGGGCGCACGATCAGGCGCGTGATCAGTGTCGACAGCGGTGAGAGCACGGCGCGCCACGCGGCGAGAGCAAAGTCCTGTGCGGCGACAAAGCCGAGCGGCGTCGACTGCAGTGGCAGGCGTCGGTACAGTTGACTACCAGCAAGCAAAAGCGGGCGAGGCGGTCAGCAATCTGCGAAATGGAATCCTGCTTGCTGGTCAGGCACGAGCTCACTAGAACGTCTCAAAGCCGGACGAGTAGAGGACCGTGTAGCCAAAGAAGGGGACGACGCCGCGGAGGAGGCCAATGTATCCGTCACGCTGGATGAGGCCGTTGGCCGCCTGGAGTGTGTTCTGGTAGTAGATGTGCTTACCGACGGTGGTCCCGCTGAGCGGCTGGTAGGTCACCTTGAAGACCGTGTCGGCGACCTGCAGGGGGTAGGTGAGAGCGATGCCAGATGCGAGCTGAAGCCCGACAACGGCGAGCGATGGCTGCGCGCCGGCTGGCTGGCTTGGGAGCGAGGCCATGGCGACTCCTGCTGTGGATTTCCCTTTGGCCTGTGTGAGTGTGTGCTGCTGTGAGCAATCCCTCGAGATCTTTCTTGGATGGATGGGTGGGTGTGGGGACGATTGGGGCTGAGGTGAATGAGGGGAGAGAAGAGGGAAAGATATGGGTGGGGTTGATGGGGATGAAGACGGGCCTCCCCACTTGAGTCTCAACTCTTCAGACATTACAGTTTATACATACCCGCGCGCGCTGGCTGTGGCCCGTGCGTCATCGTGCATCCCCCTCCTCCCCACCGCACTCTCACACTAACGTCATGCGCGCAGCGTCCACCAACCCTATTATTTCCACCCAGCCGGATCTTGGGAAAGCGTTCTTTACTCCTATGCTGCAGAGGGGAGAGGGTTAGGAGTGGCGAGGTTAAAGAGAGCCGACGCGTGCGACTGCGCTGCGGCGTTAAGCGCACGCGTGCGCTGTTTGCGCTGGCCACCCCCCACTGTCAAAGAGTCAGGAGAGCGAGCCGAGGAAGCAATTGCCAATGAATGAATCCCTACAACAGAAAGTCAAGGTGCCGTTGCGAGGGGTTTCTTTTGCACTCTCGCTCCTCGTCTTGGAACAATCGCAATATATACACGCGACCCTGCTGTCCTGGTCTTGACTGGATCGCTCTCTCTTCCCCCCTCACCGACCACGGCCTCGCTCCCCTCTAGGATCCTAGCGCGCGCAATGCTCGTACCGTGAAGCGAAATGGGGAGCCGCATCGCACCAACGAGCCCGGGAAGATACGTATGCAGCTGTGAGATTCGGCCTAAGAAAAGAAGATAAAACTGGTGGGCATGTCGTACTTTGCACACATTCGGACGCTGGGGCGTATACCCGCTCCCTCTGTCCGCGCTGGGTGCGATCCCGCTCCTTTGCGAATCCCCACAGCAACGGCGCGAAGACGAGTGGACATTGGCTTAGCATTAAAGCGAAATCTGCAAATGAGCTACATCGCTGCAGTCGCCAGAACTGAGAGGGGTTTCAGCTCGAGTACACTGGCATCACCGGGCGGCAGCAACCCGCTCCTCGTCGCCCTGATTTCCGGCGGTGCAGCACTGGCAGCAGGCTACTTGCTCTTTTCGCCTTCGAGTCAACCCAAACACTCTGCTTCCGCGGCAGAGCCAACATCATCAGCAACAAATGACGACGGAGGGCCGGTAACGGCTTCGCACCCAGCGTACAACTTTGACGCAGCCATCAAAGAGTTGCAATCCTTCTTGCCGGAAGACCGGCTGTCCTTCGAAGAATCAGAGCGCGAAACGCACGGCCACTCCAGTTGGTCGTACCATCCTTCGCATCCGCACGCGGCCGTCGTATACCCGATCGACGTCTCCGAGGTCGTACGCATCGTCAAGATCGCCGGAAAGCACAAAGTTCCCCTCGTGCCCTACGCAGGCGGCACCTCGCTCGAAGCGCACTATTCGGCGCCCGATCCGCATAGCGACAGGCGTAAGAGCATCAGCGTCGACTTTAATCTGATGGACAAGATCCTCCGTTACAGCGAGGAAGATGGAGACATCACCGTGCAGCCGGGCGTCAGGTGGGAGGGGCTGAATGAGGAGCTGAAGAATAGAGGCAGCAAGTACTTCTTCCCCATCGATCCCGGGCCGAGTGCCGCCATTGGTGGCATGGTTGCGAGGTGAGTCCACAGAATCTAGCCCCACTTATTCAACACAAACTCATGGGAGTTTCATTCGTGTTGGGTCGTAGCGGTTGCTCGGGCACGAATGCGGTCCGATATGGTACGATGAAGGGCGATTACATCTTGAATTTGGTGAGCGGGGCAGCGCAGCAACAACAACTTGGAAAGAAAAGTGGCTGATGACAAGCTCGCCTTTTTTCCTCTGGCTGACAGACGGTCGTCCTGCCTTCGGGCGAAGTGATCACGACGCGCTCGAGAGCGCGCAAGTCGTCTGCGGGCCCCGACCTAACGAAGCTCTTCCTCGGCTCAGAAGGCACGCTGGGTCTGGTGGTCGCCGCGACGCTGCGTCTGGCGCCGATCCCCCCATGCACATCTGTCGGCGTGTCGGCGTTCCCGAGCGCGTCGGATGCATGCAGCGCTGCGCGTGACCTGCTCGCGCACGGTATTGGCGTCCAGTGTGTCGAGCTGCTCGATGACGTCATGCTCGCGGCCGTCAACAAAGCCAACGCCGCCGACACGCGGGCGATCAAACACGTCGAGCAGCCGTCGCTTTTTATCAGATTCGCCGCCAGCAGCGACGCGGCCATGCGCGCTGACTCGCAGCTTGCGGCTCGCATCCTCGAAAAGCACGGTGGAAGCAAGATGCAGTTCGCCATGGACAAGGATGAGATCGAGCGTCTATGGCACGCGCGCAAGGTCGCTCTGTGGAGTGCACTGGATTACCCCGAGCGGAAGGAGGGAGAGAAATGGCGCGCCTGGACCACCGATGTCTGCGTGCCTGTCGGCCAGCTGAGCGAACTGATCCGACGCGTCAAAGACGACATCACGCAGGAGAATATCCTCTCACCCATCGTCGGTCACATTGGGGATGGCAACTTTCACGGGGTGAGCAGGCAGCGCAAGCCACCTTTCCTCTCTTTAAATGGGCTGATATCCAACACTCGTGGTTCCCCTCAGATCATCCTCTTCCGCGACGGCGACCAGGAGATGTTCGAGCGTGTCGAGCGCCTGGTCCACCGGATGGTGCATCACGCGCAAGATCTCGATGGTACCTGTACGGGCGAGCATGGTGTAGGCATCGGCAAGAAGCAGTTCCTTGAGCGCGAGCTCGGCAAGGGCACCCTCGATCTGCTGCGCATGCTCAAAAGGACGCTCGACCCAGATTCGATCATGAATCCGGGGAAGCTCATCGATGTATACTAGTTCCAGTGCGGCTGTATTTTAAGGACAAGGACTTTGGCCGCAAGCTCATAGTAGCTGCCTGTTGCCAATGTGGACCGTGAGCTTCGCGCCGGCTGGGTACGGCATCTGTTCTTCTCCAACAGCGGTGCCGCGATTGCTGTGTATTGCCAGGTTCTTACGAGATCCAATGACACGGAACGGGAACTGTTGAGACTGACACGAGGACAGTTCAGAGCGGAAAAAGTGGTGATGCAATTTCAGCGCCGTGAGTGCGTGCCTGGTAGACATTTCTATTGTACAAGCAGAAAGCGACGGGCATGTGAAGGCGGGGAACTTCCAGCGAGAATATTGTGAAAATGCTCCTGACGTCCCGCTGGGCCAACGTCTCCCCTTTGCAATAAAATGCGACGCCTGTCATCTATGACCGCGAAGGCGTGCAGTGGTGGGCTTTGATGATTGCTGGTATCGAGTCACAGTCAAGATGGCGACTCGAGGCTGAACCACCAAAAGTGCTCATGCCCTCTCTCATCTCCCCCCGTCGGCAACTCATGACGACTTTTGCTCGCTGCCCTCGGAGCCCGAGCTAGCGGCACCATCTGAACCGTTGCTGCCACTGGACTGCTGCTGGTTGTTGCGCTTCTCGTACACCTGCTTGAACAGGCCCAGGCTGGCCTGCTGCGTCGCATCGACCTTTTCCCGGATTTGCTCTGCGGTGACGCTGTCGTCGGCATTCTGGCCCTTAGCCGCCAGCTCCTCGGTCTCCTTGATGAGCGCGTTGAGCTTCTCCTTGTCTTCTGTGGGCAACTGGTCGCCAAACTCGGTGAGCGCCTTGGCTGTCTCGGCGCAGACGCTCTGCGCGCGGTTGGCCTCCTCGATGAGCGCCTTGCGCGCCTTGTCCGCCTCAGAGTGCTGCTCGGCATCCTGGACCATGCGCTCGATCTCCTGGTCGCTCAGACCACTGCTGGCAGTGATGGTGATGTCAGCAGCCTTGTTCGATACCTTCTCCATCGCGCTGACGTTGAGGATGCCGTTAGCATCGATATCGAATGTTACCTCCACCTGAGGCACACCGCGTGGCGCAGGCGGCAGACCGCCAAGGTTGAACGTGCCAAGCTGCTTGTTGTCCCGCACCAGCTCACGCTCGCCCTGGTAAACCTCGATGCTTACGGCCGTCTGGCCATCGGCTGCTGTGCTGAAGATTTGAGACTTCTTGGTTGGGATAGTGGTGTTGCGGTTGATCAGACGGGTGAAGACGCCACCGAGAGTGGTGATACCCAGCGAGAGCGGCGTGACGTCGAGTAGTAGAATGTCGGTCACTTGACCAGAGAGCACGCCACCCTGGATTGAGGCGCCGATGGCGACAGCCTCATCCGGGTTGACACCCTTGCTTGGGTCGCGCTTGAAGATGCTCTTGACCGTCTCAAGCACCTTCGGCATGCGCGACATACCACCGACCATGATGACCTCCTGGATGTCGCTCGGCTTGGTGCCTGCATCAGACAGCGCCTTCTTGCACGGCTCGACCGTCCGCTCGATCAGCTTGGCGCAGAGGCTCTCGAGCTGCGCCCGCGACATCTTCATGTTGATGTGCTTGGGGCCCGAAGCATCAGCGGTAATGTACGGCAGTGAAATGTCAGTCTGCGACGTCGAAGAGAGCTCGATCTTGGCCTTCTCCGCAGCTTCACGGATACGCTGGATGGCCATGCGGTCCTTGGACAGGTCGATGCCAGACTCCTTCTGGAACTCCTTGACGAGGTGCTCGACGAGGACAATGTCAAAGTCCTCACCACCGAGGTGAGTGTCACCGTTGGTCGACTTGACCTCGAAGACGCCCTTTTGCATCTCGAGAATGGAGACATCGAACGTGCCACCACCCAAGTCGAAGACTGCAATGACTGCTGAGTCCTGCTTGTCAAGACCGTATGCGAGCGCAGCGGCGGTAGGCTCGTTGATCACTCGCAAGACATCAAGCCCGGCGATGGTACCGGCGTCCTTGGTGGCCTGGCGTTGTGAGTCGTTGAAGTAAGCGGGAACGGTGATGACGGCGTGGTTGATAGTCTTACCGAGGTAGCTCGCAGCGGTCTCCTTGAGTTTGCCGACAACGAAAGCGCCAATCTGCGAAGGGCTGTACTTTTGCCCCCGGGCCTCGACCCAGGCGTCGCCGTTCGAGTGTGGGATGATCTTATAGGGAACATTTGCCAAGTCCTTTTGCACTTCCTTGTCCGGGAACTTTCGCCCGATCAATCGCTTTGTAGCGAAGAGCGTCGCCTCCGGGTTGACCACCGCTTGCCGCTTGGCTGGGACACCGACCAAGCGCTCGCCTTCCTTGGTAAATGCCACGACGGATGGGGTTGTGCGGCCGCCCTCTGAGTTTTCAATGACACGAGCCTGCTGACCCTCCATGATGGAAACACATGAGTTAGTGGCTACATAGTAGGAAGGAGCATGTGGTCAGTAATAGTTTGCGCAGGAAAAGCAAAGCAGCCATGTGGTACTCACTTCCCAGGTCGATACCAATAACTGGCCCGGTGACCTTGCTCGAGTTCCATCGCGCAGAGAGTGGCGCCAGGCGCTGTCAAAGGCAAGCAGGCGTCGGACATGCATGTCAGCACAAATACCGGCCAGGCAAGGCGTGGGTGATGTATAATTAATTCCTCCTCTACCCCTTCCTTGCTACCAAAGGAACAAGCGACGGAGGCGATCGTCATGCGACAACACTGCGCAGCCTATTTCCGACCCATGACCTGAGCAGACTGGGCACAGCACCCTCCTCCTTTGCCACCAACCCCTCACGGCCATTTCCTTCAAGGGGCAGCCGGGACACCAAGAATGCGATGTCTACACCGAAATATTGGCTCCTCAGCATTCAGTCATGAACACTTGCCTACTCACAGCTGCGTTGGCCATCGGCTGTCGGCTAGCCACCTGGGCCTGAGCGAGTAGACGGGAGCTGCCGCCCGCAGCGGATCGAAGTTGCCTGGGGAACATGCTGAAGGCTCTTGCTTGGGGTCTGCAGTGCGTGACTCGTTGCACTCGTTCCAGATGGGGTGAGTCGGAGGGGCAATTGTCGATGGATGGTGTGGTGTTACTCGAGAAGGAGTTGGTCGACGTACAAGCCAATGCTGAAGGACGGAGGAGAGAAGATTTTCGCGGAACGGCATCGAAGGAAACGAAAAAACCACAGAAACATGACGTTGATATAATCCACACTCTCGGCCGAGAAGCGAATCCCCTTGCCCTCCGGGGGCAGCCGTGCTTCGCCGATATTCGGGACACTCGTTTGGCTGGACACTCAACCAGTGCTTTTGGAGACACATCGGCAAGCAGCTCTATACAGTAGAACATTATGTCAGGGTACCATACATGTCGAGCGCGCCTTCGGGGAAATTGCTACTCTCAAAGACTTGCACCTCCTGATACGTGCTCGCGCGTTGTGCGCTCATGGTGATGTGATGGTCTACTGCTGCCTGGTATGGGCCCGCTTCCGTCCCTCTTATTAGCTTCTTTAAGTGTCACATCCGCAGCAGTTGTTGTATGTCATGTTCCCATCGTGGTCTCCCTTCGCTTCTGGCTCCAAACCAAGTAAAACGGCAGCGAGGGCTTATGGGGCAGTTCTTGGACTATTAGTGCTCGCTGAATGTATAGGTTAGGCGCACATGGGAATAGACAGATGCACCACAATCCATAGATTCAAGAAAGGCTGTGCGCTTGGATGCTGCAATGCATACATTGTGTTCAGTAGAAGTCGTGCCCAGTGGTGTGAGAGCTAATGAAGTTGTCGGGGTCTACACAGAAAGAGGCGCAGCAGAAAGTGTCAGCAAAAGAGGCAAGGTGGACGCTAATGGTTGGCGATTCATTTGGTTAACGCACCGTACTTCTTCTTGATCTGCAATATAAAATAGGCACGACGCAGACACATTAAACTTGTAAGCTCAACATGGTCGATCCCCAAAGACTCATGAAACGCACCTGTCGAAGAAGTTCGATGCCGCCATACGTCAAGAACGGCTTCTGCTCGAGCCGGGCGTAGTTGGCATACAGCGGCAGCTTGCGCTGGCTTTTGGGCACCGCCTGCGCCGCCTGCGGCGTCAGGCCAAATAGCTTCGTATCCATCAGAGCGCCAATGGCGGGTATGGAACCTTCTGCATAGCAAACCCAGAGATAACCATCGCCGCCTGAGACTCCCATCGCGTTGCCGCCGTTTGCTTGCGATGCGGCGAGGCCCGTCTTGGTGATGACTGAGAAGCTGAGGGTGTTCTGCAGGTACGCCCCTGATGTCTGGACCGAGCTGGCAGGTCGAGCAACGGGTGGTAATGTCAGCTGCATTGCGTTCAGAGGTAATGCTAGCGCACCCACTATTCCTCCCATGCATTGTAGATTGCAAGCAGCTGGTCCTTGTTAATGAGGTCCGTCACCGAGGAGTACAACGCATTGTTGAAGCCAGAAAAGACAAATTGCTGGTTGGTGAGCGCTTTGTTGAGGAAGTCCGGATATGGCTGCACCTTGCGGTCATCGTAGAGCGTGTTGATGATGTTGAAATCCTTGAAGCACTCTCCTGGGTCGGTTCCATCAAAGAAGAACTCGAAGATGTTAAGGCGGGTGATGAGCGACTCAACAAAAAAGTCAGTGATGGCGGGTAAGACGAACCCCTTCTTGCACTTGTCTGCACCACCGTTGATCCAGTTGGCATAGGCGCCGAGCACGTCCAGCATCTTGTCGGTCGGGAAGATCACGGAACCGCCGTAGGTGGTCGTGCCAGGTAGCGTGCGCGAGTGTACGGCGGTGATGATACCGAACGAGTTCATGCCGACCTTGGCTGCCCACCACAGGTCACTGTATTGGTTATCCTGTGTGGCAATGATAAACGTACCATCCGCAAGGACAATCTCGAACGCGTGTGTGGTGTCACTCGCAAAGCCGACTTGGCCCGAGTACCACGAGATGCCGCCGCCAAAGCTGAGGCCGGGTCCGACGGCGCCGAGGCGACCACCGACAACTTGTGCGCCGTACTGCGCCATTGTCGTAGCGAGCTCGCCCCAGCTCTGACCTGGTTCCCAGCGTGCGATCCCAGTGCTTGCGTCGTAGCTGACCGCCTTCATCTTAGACATGTCGATCAAGATCCCCGTGGTGCTGCTGAAGCCGAGAGCTGTCGTAAAGTTGTAGCCTGTCGAGTGGCCCACAGCCTTGATGGCGTATGTGACGTCGTACTCTCTCAGCAACTTCATGATTGTCACCACATCCTGGCTGCTCGTTGGGTACGTGACGCACGCCGGGCGGTTGCCGGCTTGACGAGCATTGTAGTAATGCGTCGTGGACTGAATGCACTCGGGGGTGGTACAGACGCGGCCGACGTAGTCGTTGTTCGGCAGAGCGGTGTGAATGGCCGAGCAGGCAGAGTCCAGCGTTTTGCTGGTGTTATAATTGGGCGTGATGTCTTGAAGCAGCTGCCCAAGGTCGATTGGTGGAGGCTGCGTCTGTAGCGCCTGGCTTACTTGGACCGGGTCATTGGGGTTGGTGCCATTGTCAAGCTGCAGTCCCTTGTTGTTGATACTGATACCTAGGACGGTCGGTGCAAAGTGGATGACAGGGTGGAGTATGTTCTCGACTGTGTCGCTAATCAGGTCGCGGCGGCTGGCGGCACCAGCAGTTCGCTGCGGCGATGGCGCACGGCTCCGGACGAAGCTAGCTGCTGTAAACGTGGAAAGGAGCGTGAAGATGAGCAGAAGGTGCGAAAGCGAAGAACGCGAGAGCAGCAAGTGGCCGGCTCGCATCTTGACGAGCGGAGTTCTATTGTGGATAGTTGAGTCCAGGCAGATTCTATCGAGTCATGAAGCCAGGAGGGTGCTCGTTGGATTCACCGTGCGGCATGCACTTTCGAACATGAAGCAGAGACGGGCAGGGCGAAGGGGCGAGTACGTGAAGGGTAGGGGAGGGTGATCGGAGGACGGTGGGCTTGGGTTGCCGAAACGGAAAGGTTTATATATTCGAATGTCATATCAGTTGCGGGGGATCTACGAGCTATAATGGATAAGCCTCCTGAGAGATGATCCGCGGTTCCTGTTGCGGCAGGTTCAAGCGGAACGAAAAGTCGAACTAATCTGTCAAGCATCGGAACCAGCATTAGTTGGAAATTGATAAAAGAATGTTAAATTCATTTAAACGGAATTAGTCAGTATTATTGGACTCCAAAAACGACTGGAAATTTGGACGCATAGTCGATAATCTTCGGAAAGCAAAAGTCACTCCAAAAGTCACGATAAATTGGTTCTTGATAGCCTTTTGCACAACCAATCGCGCCAGGAATTGCCTGAAAAAAATAAACGGATCTTGCCAAAAAGCGCCTCGCAACAACCCTACTTTCATTGCGCTCATTTCAACCTTACGTACTTTTGCACTTTTTCCGGCGAGAGACAAGACTGTAATCCTCGAGTCGAGCTTCCTCATCCACCCCCAGGCTTTTGTCGAGCAACCCTTGTATGCTTGTGGATAACGAGCAATGTCATTTTGGCTAATACACATGGTCTCAGGGCATATGAATACTTGCCACTGACTGGGATTTGGAGTACATAAGCGGCTGATTGTGCAGGTTCGCGCGGAAGAAGATCCGCCACGGTTGCATTTGTTCGACGGAGAGCAGCGGACTTCCTCTCTTTTGGGAAGAGCCGCCCACAGGCCGGTTGGCGTGCGCTTCTTCAGATATGGGGATCATCTATCTGACGTCCTACGTCAAAAAGATCTATCGCAGCATATCCGACCAGCTGACATTTCCAGCCATCAACGATGAAGTACCACACGCCGCAACGCCTGCGGCAACAGGAGGTAATGGCCCACAACCTGCGGTTACAGCAGAAGCAGCTAAAGGAACAAGCGGCAAGCGGCCCACAGTATTAGTGATCGACGCGTGGGCTTGGATCTTCTACCACTTTCTCCACTACTTTGTCGATCTCACACGCGGCGGTGAATATGCGCGATGGCACGCCCATGTCCGTCGGTATTGCACGGTGTTGAAGTGAGTCATCGCGGCCTCAGGTTGTATGGTGGGACGAAAGCACTGACGCAATGCCTCGTTGGTTTAATCGCAGGAGATGCAATTTGAAGCCCGTCTTTGTCTTCGATGGACCCCTGCCACCGACCAAGCTCGATGCAGTCCTGGCCCGACGAGAGCATCAATTCCGATCCAATTCGCTGTTCATGCGCCTCTCCCCAAACAGTCGGACCTCACCATCCGTTCAAGCGCAAGCTGGCTACATCCCCCCTTTGCTCTCCTATGTCCTCATCCAAGCTCTCCGGGAGGAAGGCGTTGAGCTCGTCTTTTCCGAGTCAGAGGCAGACTCGCTCGTGGCAGAAGAGGCGGAGCGCAGAGGCGGCTACGCCGTCAGCAATGACAGCGACATGTACGTCCTCTGCTCGAGGGGTGAGGGTTGCGGGTACGTGCCTTTAGCGAGCTTCGAGTATCTGGTACAAGAACCAGTGTCAAATTCGGGAGGTGATCTCAGCGCGGAGCCTGCTGCCTCCAATTGGCAACAAGGGAGCGATGACGGATTCGAAGTCGTAGGAAGGAAGGGGAAGGCAACAGCCAGGCGACTACCGGCAACGAATACATCAAATACATCCGGAGAAGCCTCAGCTCCCTCAGCTGTTGCAGAGGTGTACACGCTCGATGTCTTAGCGGATCAAACTGCAGTTGTCGGCGAAGATGCTACAGGCGACGACACCGCTGCCGCCGCAAGGCCAATCCTGAGTGCGGTTCGCTTCTCCGTACATTCGCCAACCAAACTTGCTGCCCACTTGGGCATACCTGCCACCTTTCTTCCGCTGCTAGCAGCGTTCGTCGGTAACGATCACACTGTACCAGAGTACACATTACTTCTGGAACAGCGATTGCCGCATAACTGCGACCGAATACAGGCAGTGGCAAGCCTGATCAAGACAGAGTGGCAGAAATTGGGGCGTTCCGGGGGCTCAAGACAGCCTGCGTCGCCAGAAGTTTCCCGGGGTTCAAAAACACCAACTCGGAGAGTGGGCCTAGGCAGATTGGCCGGCCCGGCCTTTTCCACGCTTAGCTCGGGTCGCGCCGCATCGGAGGATGGTAGGAGCGATGGAGGGAGGACAGCGCCATCTTCTGGGACCGCTACACCCACGCGACAATTTGCAAACGATGCCGCGGCGCGGCGCGCACTATCAGCCACGTCGAGCAGCACCCCTTCCGGCCGGCTCGGCGACCACTTCACAGCGGCTGAAGTTAGCACGGCTCTGGCCATCGACCCTGTACGTGGTCTCGTAACGTGCGTGCTGGACCAGATCCTCGCTTTGCGCAGCCTTCCTGCCTCTCAGTTCGGCAAGAGCGCTGCTGCCGCTCAATCAGTTGAGCGATATACAGCTTCTGGCGAGCGGGAGAGGCTCATCGCAGGGCTCCTCGATAGTGTTGCGGTCTATTCGCTCTTGACGCACCATGCGGCTCCACATCTAAATGAGCCCGCTGCCGAATTCTTTGTTTCTCAGCCATCCATCGACGTGCTGCCCACCAAGCCGCTCAACGCTTCCTGGTGGAACATGCGTCCAAACCTGCGCGCTCTCGCAGCGTACCAGGAGGCGTATAGGCAAGGCCACTTCAATCATCAGCTCGTCGATATCCTAACGCAGCGCATCTGCATCCCTCTCTCCTTTGCAGAAGACCCTGACGCCCCCAGTGTGCATGTTGGTGTTGCGCGGCAGCTAAGGCGGTGGGTGTGCGCAGTGCTCTTTGGCGCATGGGGCATGAGCTGGGCCAGACGAGAAATTGAGGAGCCCGTGCTGCAAGACGAGGAATACGGCTCGCAGTCAGAGACAGAAGCTGAGACGCACGCATCGCCACAACGTGTGCGATGGATCGGAGGGGGTGACTACGCCAGCGAAGAAGACCCTGATGAGCTCATCAGCGTGGGTACACCAACTTCTTTCGATACCGATGAGGAGGGGCCCCTTTCGCGCATGATGCGAGATGAGGCGGACGAAGCAGCTGGTGATGGTCATGAAAACAATGAGGACGCTGGTTCTGAAGGATCTGTCGCCGAGTTGCAGCGGCAAGCCGACCAAGAAGCTGCAGCGCATATCAAGCCAGCGCCCATCGTCACCGAGTGGGTCCGCTCAGGGGAAAGGCGCAAGGGTGACCCCGTTGTCATATCGTCTTTGTCGGAAATGCTTTCATCTTCGCGCAGCCACCTACCTCCGTCCTTGCTGGATCTGCTCGGGCAATACGAGGCGCACGAGGCATCGCTCGAGGAGGCTTCGAGATCGGCTTCTGCAACTGCACACAACTCAATGCCCGGCTCTCCAAGCCTGCCGCAATCCCCACTTCCGCCGTTCGAAAATCGAATCTTGCAGACGGACGCCGATCCGCTACCGGAAGCGCCGCCCCTTTTGCGGCTCGAAACACGCAAAGATATTCTCTTCTGTGCATTTGGCGCACAGACGCCAACGTTCAATCAGCTGCAGACCTCTCTGCAGATGGTTGCAGCTGCCCTGCGCTTCCTCGTTGCGCACGAAGCCGAGCGTTTGGGCGAAAGCAGCAAGCGATTCAACTGGACTGCAGAGGAAATTCGCGCTGCAGTATTGGCGAGCTTGTGGGCCATACGCGGCACCTTGCCGCCTGACGTCTGTGCCAAGATTGAGAAACGTGCAGAAGCTGCACTGCATGCAGCCTCTGCATTGCGGGCTGCGCCAACCACGCGCCACATTCACCTGACAAACAGCATACAAGCGGTATACGAGGCCGCTGAACTGCTCGTGCAATCGCTCCTGTTGACGGACGCGCTACCGATATCGTATGTCACCGCTTTCGAGCCGCCGCTGCTGCAGGCATACCTATTTGCGCAAGGTACTCAAAGTGGGGCAGGTGCTGGCGCCGGGGAGGCAGCCCTTATCACTCTTCCGGCGGTGACGCGTGAAGAAAAGCTCGTGTGCCAGGTCATTATGGAAGGGGTAGAAGAGCAGCTGGGAATCGACCTTGCAACTGCGCGCGCCGAGAAAAAGCGCGCTAAAAAGCAGGCACGGGCGGCTGGCGCCAGTGCTGGAGCTGCCGCTGCAGGGGGAAACAAGCCTGTGCGACCGACAGCCGCAATTGCAGCACGCCCCGGCATCAATCCTTTTGCATTACTTGGAGAATAGATAAATATACGCACATAGTCGAGTAGGATTCGAGCACAGTACTGAGATTTGTGCAGGTGCTTTTCTGAATTAACTCGGCCGCATTTGCTTGAGACACGTGATACTAGATTCAAGCAGAAAAATCTTCACGGTAAAGAAAACGACGAATGAATGTCCGTTTGAAGGTTACACGACCCGGGTGGAGAAGATATCACGCCTCTAAGCCCGCAGCGGCCACGTAACTCATTAGTGGCGGCTCAGCTTTGGCGGCTGCGCTACCTGGGAAGAGAACGTCCGTTCCCAGGCTGATGAGGAAGTCGAGTGTCGGCTTGGCAGCCTCGAAATTCAGATCGGTGTTGGCAAAGTTGATGCACTGCGCTGTGTTAAATTTGCTGGGGGATGCTTGGTCGCTCGGGCTCAGTTTCGCAGCGTACGAGATAGGGAATGAAGCGCAGTCAATAGGTATATCAGGGTGGTCTGTAATGTGCAGCGATCCATACAAGTTAGCATTTACTGTAGAAATTGTACGCTGACAGGTAGCCGCAAGCTGGTGAACGAGTCAGAAACTTGCGGGATGACGATCTAGTCGGTTCCTGTAGAGACGGCAGTGATGGGAACGATGAAGAAGATGAAGAGGTGCTCTTGCGCCTTGATGATGTAGTTGGACGATGCGCGCTGCTGCAGTAAAGACGCCGAGCAGCCTTCCAAGGCGGACAGCCCGTTCCCGACGATGCACCTTACTCCAGGGAGCACGATGGACCCGTCGAAGTAGGATACCAAGCCGTTGTGTTGCGCAGGATAGAAGCTGGTCAGGGCAACAGATTACCCAGCATTGTGATATGGTGCAAGGACTCGCATAATGCCGCGGATTAGCCTCGTTGCGCTCAGCCAAAAGGTGGTAGCCCATAGGGTGTTGAGACAACCGCCCCGCAAATGTCCGATAATCTTGACTTTGGTTCATGGCTCTTGAGCGCGAGTTTTTGTTGATGGCACACAAGATGTATTCGGGATTGACCTGCGCAACGCCGAGCATGCTTTGGGGGAGGTCGACGGTCCAGACGTCAAAGCCATTCGTGGACCCTCCGTTGGCCCCTGGGAAAGGCATTGGCGGCAGCAGGTCCCCATAAGAACCACTCTACCAGCTGGAGGCATTAAGAGCTGTACCGTGCGCAACGAGGACGACTTTGCTCGTCCCATCAGGGGTGCGGGTGCTTTAGATCGCGGAGTCCACGAACGACCGCGATACTGTGAACGGCGCGTCCTTGGTAGGCAGGGAGGCGTCGCGGCACACCGACGGTGGACTCTCGAGAAGGGGAGACGGTGAAGACGGTCCTCCGAGTGCACAACACGCTCTAGCAAGCGCAAGCAAGATGGGCAAGGGCCACAGGGAGCACATGCCGTGTAGCGGGGGCCAGGGTTCGGAGCAACCCGAGGGGTGGGGGTCGCAAAAGGGGAGATTCGATGCTGTGCAGGGAGAGAGGTTTCCGAGTCATCGGCGATGGATCCAGGGTTGAGGAGGAGGAGATTAAGTCGCAGGTGCAAGGTGTTAGCCGGTAGGGAGCAGGTCTGAAGGATGGGAGGAGCGGAGAGCAGACAATCCATGCCACTTCTATGGAGGGACATCGACCCGAAGCAACGATCGGATCAGCATTCGATCACGTTCCCCAAATTCTCCACTGGCTGATGTCGGGCATTTTTCCACCAGTGTCCTTCGTGACAAGCCGAGGCTTCATTGCTCGTTCCAACTCTTGTCAGCTCACCCGGAGCAAGCAAGCCAAAGCCATGGAAAGCGATGCGAGGTTGAGCGAAAACACCCGGACCGCTGCTCGCATGGAGAGAGATAGGCTCTTTCACACTTTTCCATGATCTCGCATTGCTTGACGGCGATTGGCTTCAGGAACACGGGAGTTAGGGAAGAAAAGTCTCAGACGTTTCGCTTGCAATGTTGAAAACTGTTAAAATTCTTAAAAGCGCGTGGGATGCGGTGCCGCCATGACACATCCACACCTTCAATATCTTCACGACCGACTCATGGCAGATAGCAGCTCATTGAGGGTGACAAGTAGGTACAGAAAAGCGGAACCCTAATCGAGCCTGGCCGGCTTTCAAAGGCCTGCCTTTCGACCGCGGTGTTTCCGCAGCAGACTTGAAAGATCTGCCTGCCCTCGGTGGTTCCGAGGGGCACAATTCCCAGGATACCCGTCAATGTGGTTACGACGTTATTACAACCGGGCTGCAAGAGCATGGTCGGTAAAGGAAGTTGAAAGGACGAGGAAGGAATCGTAAAAATGAGGCAGAGTTGATGAAGTGCGTCGCGAAACATAGCGGAGATGGGTGGGGGTTGCAAGGGTTCACATTGCCTTTCCCCGCAAAAGGGTCGTTGAAATGTATCCCAACAGAAACGGGTGGGTCGCACATCGGCATAGGGTATTGAAAAGGCTTTGAGGTTACGATGATATATGATGTGAGATTTTCGGAGTACTGAAAATACACTGGCGAACCTGTGCCCTAGGCACAGCCAGATGGCCTATCGGCGGTAACAACGAGAGGCAGGAGGGAAGAGCGTACAAGGAAATAGTCCGTGACTTGTGGAATGGTGACTGCGAGAATGTCGATGCCGAGTCCCGATCGTGCTATTCTGTCGTGTAGTGTCTATTGTATCTTGAAGGCGATTTCTTGCATGTATGTATCATGGTGGCGGGAAAGCATGCGAGTGCCGGAGCCGTCGTGTTCTATTGGCGAATCAAGCCGAGCTGACGCAGGCAGACAATCGTTCGAAAGTGCAGTTCCGGTCCTAGCTTGCGGCACCTTCTTCTTTGCTAGCTGCAGGCTGCTGTTCCTAGCGTTTGTAGTCTTTGTTGACGTCGGGCAGCAGCAAGCTCGGGTGAAAAGGTATAAAGATCTGAGCGCGAGAAAGTAAGGCCAGGAGTTGGGGCGCCTCAGAATGCATCCGGATCGAAGCTCCAATCCGCACTTGATACTCACAGCAACTGAAAAGAAAATGGCTAGACCGTCTAAGATCGTGAAGAACGTTTCGTTCGACGCAAGGAACCCAGACCAGCCTTGGGCCTAGATGAAAAGAATTGTAGAAACAAAAAGTAAGCTCAGATGGTCTACGGAAAGGAACCGCATGCGCGTCTGTCTGATTCACCATTTCGACCAGACGGTAAATGCAACGCATCAGAATCATCACCGTGCTGAAAGTGGATGCGAGGCTGAGCAGCAAGACACTCTTTGACCAGCGTCCGTACGACAAGAATTCCTGTGGCTCCTGCTCCTTCTGCTTGCGTAGTTTGTCGGAGTGAGGCGCTAACTTTGACGAAGGTATCGTTGATGCGGATAGATCGAGAGGCTGTGCCTCAGCAATTTGCCTCTCCTTTTTGTATTGAATGTAGTGCCGAAGATGGAAGTCGGCGAATAGCAACTCGAACGGCGCAGTGACTGCCACCTGAATAACGACACCTGCCAGCGTAATCTGACTACCAATTTGGAGCGCATGTTCTGTGTTTGCCGTTGCCGATAGTCCTCCGCCGACCGCTTGAATGATGAGCGAGAGGATGTCGCCCGAGACAAATAAGGTAAAGTATGTCCGCTTCTTCAGGCGCGCAAAGTCATGTCCGACGACATCCATGATGCGCTCGAGCGTGACGTAGTTGACGGCGCTGATGAAGACGGGCGAAAGGATGAGGCAGACTAGCTGCGCAATGTAGGCGTCTACGTCGAACGGATGCAGCGATGACTGAATTCGTGAGGCCCAGCCGGCAATTTCACCCGCTGAGCAGACCGCAGCAAGCAGCATAAAGCCACCGCGCTTCCATCTCCAACCAGACAGGGTGATGTGCGTAAGGAAAAGCAGAGCGTGACACGCAGTAAACGCGACCCCGAGCCAGAGGGCTAGGAAGATAGGACATCGCGGTGCGTTAGCAACTTCACCGGTAGTGCCAGCGCTGTGGGGCCGAGGCAACGACTTACCAGGTACATATTTGTAAGGAACATGGTCGAGGCTGCACTGTTGATCAGGACGAGGATCAACCCCCTGGCAAGATTCGACGTCTTGGAAGACCGACATTGTGATGAAAGGAAGTGAACGCTTCGGACTAGAAGAGAAGGATGAGAGAAGGTTGGTCCCTTGGTCTTGAGGTATGCAATGCAAGTGTCGGGGGGTTGCAACAATTGTGCTGGATGGGTGTAGCTCTATATCTCTTCGCCTGGAACTTTGGGCAAGATGTTGCCAATGAAAGCCGAGCCGATCAGCGATGGACGTGCGGCACATCCAATTGGCGAGGCGATGAGTCTTTGCTGACCAAGAGAGAGGTATTCTATGTGTACAAAAATACAATTATATATATATATATATGCGCTCTACACCTACTACAACATATCCAATCAGTACGTCAAGGTGTACAGGGTAATGGCAATCGAAGGAAGGGGATTGAGCAATGTAATGCGAGTGCAATGCCGCAGGTCGCGAGCACAAGCTCACAAGACTTGCGCACGTATCTACGATCCTACAACCTCCGAGCCAGAACAACGAAAGGCCGATCAGCGAACCCCGGGGGACCAAGCGAACACGGGAGGCTGTGCCGAAGCTGCGCTGCCCTGGACCAAGCGCCCATCGGCCCGGCGGAATTGTTTGAATACCGATGACCGAGGCACCGAGACAATACCAAACGTGAGGGTACTAGTATGTATGTAACGCGAAATACTGGTTGATGTTTGTTCGTTCGTACTCATGACGGCATGTTCCATTCGTTAACAACAAATCCCCCCCTTTCGTCATGGTCATCGTCACTGTTAGTAGTGGTTTCCCAAGGACCCGCTCCTCCTGTTCGTCACGCGGGCTGCCTATTGCGTTGTTGCATGCTCTCGCGGTGCTGGACTCTTCGCAATGGTGCCATTGAGGTACTATAAGGCGATTCCATGGGGCCACCACGGACAACTGTGTCTTTCCAATGCATGTAATCCAGAGAAAGGTACAAATACAAAGAGAAGTGGGCTGAGGAAGATTCAATTGGGAGGAAGCGGTGCCACTGCGAGGACTAGCTTTTGAAGTATCCACTTCCGCTATCTTGCTTTCGTGAGGCTCAGTTGTCACAAACCTACTGCTTGAACAAGCTTCGCCAGGGCCCCTGTTAGCAGTAGCCATTGTGAGGACATCTGGAAGGACAGCACTGGCGAATGGCATCACGGACCGTTAGTCGAACACGCTTCCATCTAGGCACATCGCACAAAGCTCAGCGGGAAAGTCGGGCTGGTCAACAGCGTCTTGTTGATCATCGCCGCGTACATCAACTGTACAGCAGGGTGTGCGATGATCATGATGAAGTGGTCCCTGACCTGGAGTGGGCACACGCTCTGGATGCTCGAAATTTGTGCACCCTGAACCGTGCTCGACTCCGCTGCCAGCTGCGCGACTTCATCTTCGATCACGTAGAAGCTGAAGTGGGTACGTGTGCGGTATCTCCCGTCTTTTGCGATGAGGCGATCATGTGCGAGTTGCCGGACTGTTGGAAAGGCGTCGGAGAGGCAGACGTTCCCGTCGCATAATTTGACGTGATGGTGTTCAACACTAGGGAATGTGGAAGTCCCATGGAGATCAGGTAAGTTGTACCTGTTAAGAAATGAAAGAGCAAGATCAGCAGCTTGAGCTACGAACATGTCTTTGACTACTCGTCAGCCTTCTTCCAGCTCCTCACACAGCGAAAATTACTAGAGAATGAGTCGAAGGTAACCAGTCTGATGGGATTGAAAGGTAGGAAAGCGATCGAACCGATCGTCAATATGTCTTACCTTTTAGGAGCTCCACCTCTGGGCACCTGTATTTTAGTAAGATGCAGCGGATGCTTACCCAGAGCCCCTTGCGTATCCAGAGCGCCTTGACTATGCGCGAATATGCTGACCTTGCCTATACTGGGCCTTTCTGCCAAGGACTGGATAGCCATATCCTTGGCTGAAACCTGAATGTCTGTCATACCTGTACAGGGTAAGAAGAGCGGGCACAAAAGCATCGGGACGCGTTTGACACCGAAGACGCGTGGACAATGGAAGGGCCCAGGACTTGCAACCTCTTCTCCTGCAGCGACCCTGCGACAGTTCTGTAAGGCAGATCAACTCAGCAGACGATCGAGACCCGGCTTCAGTTTCGGCACGACTGTCCCCTACAGACCAGCGCCCCAGCTCTCAGAGCCGGCGGTGCCCGTGCCATGGAGGGCGAGAATGATGACCCTACCCGCTTTAGACGGGCCAGCTCTTCAGAACATGTGATAGCGTTTTGCAATTGGAACGTTGAAGCCGTGTACGCAGGGTCAAAGGTCTATTGTGGCGCAGCGAGGGTGGCAGTAGCGCCAAAGAGGGGGGAGTGGGTGAGTGCGCACGCTTGGCTGGCAATCGTTCGCGATGGTTGCGAGGAAATGTCCAAGCGTTCAGATGAAATAGCGATCATGTAAACAGGTGTATGCAGGGAGCTCGATCAGGGATGGAGTGATGCAGGCTGATAGGGGAGCAGGTGGCAGGATGTCAACCGCAATAGAGGAGGAAAGATGTAGCAAGGAATACATAGCTGGATGAGACACCGAAAATATATACATATACGAACCCCTCACGTCCAGCCTTCGCCCCAAGATGACGAGAGCCGTTCCTGCCCCCGTACCTGGTATGTATTTATATAGGCAGCATGCCCGTAGCTGGTTCGTGAATTCATGGGTTACTAAAGTGGTACAGACGGCTACATATGCGGAAAGGCGGCAGCAATGTTGAATGTCAGAGAAAAAAGAAGGGGGGGGGGGTCAATGATGACAAAGCATATTAGCCTTGTCGAGAATTGCTTAAGCCAGAGTTGAAAAGCCTTTTGGGTTTGTGGCAACACGCTAAAAACCCGGATTTTATCGGATAAAACTAGGGCTAAATCTTGAAGGTCAAGCAACACTAACCGGATATTGCTTGACTCCTAGTTTGTTGTCATCAGCTTTGGCATTCCTACAAAGATGGTGGTGGATGTACCAACGAGAAATTCAAGATGATGTCCGATTCTAATGGAGTTGTGGGAGGCAAGGACTCCTTGTAAATCTGTAAATCCTGTCTCCTAACAGTAAACGCTCACCATCGCCAATAGTGGGTACTTGATCAAGCGCGACAGGCTGGCTGGGTAACCTGAAGTCACCTTCAGTTTTCGACAACTTCTGATCTCGACGAGATATTTTATAGCATCCTTGGAGGTCGTTTCAAGCTCATTCTACGACCTACAAGCCGATTGTACTCTTAAAACCCTGGAGCTCCGAGACTTTCCCTCCAGTTCAAAACACGCCATTAAGATTCCCACCTAAAGTCCCATTACATCTTCCGTTAACGTCTGTAAAAAGTTGTTCAACCCGGCCCTGGATCCGCCGTCTGGCGGAGATTCTAAAGGAACTCATTCTTTGCGAGCTTCCCTTCTGGTTGGATTTTCGATAGCAAGCCAGCCACAGAGATTTGAGGATCACGCCACTTTCCAGGATAATTTTCTGGAAGGCTCACAGCGCCAGGACGACTGATGCACAAGTCATCCAAGTACTTCGCTCAATAGAAACCTCATCAGGGCAGATCGGTAGGCGTCTGAGGATATGACAGAGAAGTCGGGAAGGGGTAAGGAGCTTCTGTAGGTCGAAGGCGCTTCTGTACAATCTAGCACGGCTTGCACCCGATTTGTGTGGCGTATGCACAGTTTCTAACATGAAGCCTTCAGGGCTCGCAGTGGATAGCACTGTCGTAAATGTCGGCTGAGGGATCCTCCCACATGAGCGTGACGCAAGGCTGCGCGTGTTTACTTGGTGTGGTAGACTTTGAGCTTGCCAGGAGAATCTTAAGGCACAAAGTTCGGGACGAGCAAATGTTAGCATGTCTGTACAGTTGCATAAGCTCATCTATCGTGCCTCCCGACCCACAGTTATAGTTTCTGAGCAAGTCAAGCGATGAGAGGGAAGCGGAGAGGAGCGAAGGTCAGAAAATTGCAGCCTTACCCAGTCCCTTCCACTTTGTAAGTTCGGTACTGGACTCACGCAGCGTACGACTTTGGTGGAATACGAGCAGACTTTGGTTCCTGTACAAAGAAGTCCCAGCCTGATATTCAATGAGTAGGGGGAGGAAGCATGAGTTCGGATATCAGCGTGACTGTCGATCGTGGGTCGGCATGGAAGCCGGCCATCGACAGGCCGGGAATTTGTGGGCACGCACCTTGCTTCTCGCAGAAGTGAATCGCATCCTCTTTGGTGCGGAATTTGAGGGAAGTTCCTTGCATGTAGTCACCACTGTGCGGGAATTAGGAAGGCGGAGAGCAGGATATCAACGCTTGCGGACGGAGACAAATAATTGATCCACAATCGACTTACGATGAGGCCCAGCCCATGAGAGGATTCTCCCAGCTAGTGAAGGATCAAGTTTGAAGTAAGTTTCTCCATCCTGAACACAATCCAGGCTGCGGTATCAGCACACGCACCGAGCTGATCCCTGCAGAATGTCCCAGTCGATGCGCCAGAAGCTGGTGCCAGCCTTGCCAGACGAGTTGGCAGTCTTTGCTGGCTTGAAGATTCGCACGGGTCGCTGCGTCAGTTCGTCTGAGGGATATAAATGACCACGGACACACGAAGTCAGCCGGGGGAAGACATTCGATTCAGCGCTCGTGGAGCACATCAAAAGGCGTCATGGACCGGGGCAGCCTTGACTCACGTGGAGCATCGGAAACGATCTCGGCTTGATGTGCGAGCTCTTGCCTTTCCTTCTGTTCAGCTGCAAGGTTCCGACCCGCTGGGCCTGTCACGCTGACGCTGGCGTTGATGGAAGAGGATGCTTCGGCGACAAAAGCCGAGACGCTGACACCGCGCGAGGCCGTCATCACCGTCGGGCGTAGCAGGCTGCTTCGTGCCAGCAGGCTCTTAGATTGACGAAGCATGGCCATGGTGCTGTATGCCTTGGACAGATTCCAAGACTTTCGTGTCGAAGACTAACCCACAGCCTGTGGTACGCTGCCGATTGAAGCAAGAAAGTGAAATGAGAGCTGAACATGGTTAACTGGATAGTGATGGAGAGGCGGAAAGCGAAAGCACTTCACACGCGCCGCGGTTCCACGGCACCGCAGCAGCCAATAAGCCTTCGCTGCCAACGCCAGCCTGTTCAACGTGGTGCATGTGTGTTACTACGTCAAATGCATTCAAAACTCTTTGGGCCAATGCAATGAACCCAAGTCGCGTTCCGGAGCTTCAGTCACCGCAGCACAGGTCCAGATCTCTGCTTGGGGGAGAGCAGAGCCAGCGGTAGGTGCTCAAATTTTTGCAGCAAGATGGCCGGGACGCCGGCTCCCCGCGTAGGCACTTCGAACGTCGCAACCGATGGCGCTGGTGGTGGCACTAGCGGCAGGGAAGCTGCGGATGGCAGAGGGCGGAGGCTCTTCAATCCACGAGGCAGCTTTATCAAAGAGAGTGCGTAGTATGGCGTCTGAGCGGTACCACGGCAAAATAGTGCGTGGACTGATGAGCGGCACAGCCTGCTTTCAGTCAATCAAATGATGTATGCCTTTGGAGATGTCCGCAACCCAAATCCAGCAGCAGCCGCCATACTCGAAGAGATGACCATCGACTTTCTCATCGATCTCTGCATGCGAGCTCGTCCATCGCCTCTCGCAGTGCCTCAGGTGGATCAATCATATCCTCCTGTGGGCAGGCTCAAAGTCAAAGTCGACGATTTCAAGCACGCCCTGCGCAAGGACCCTAAGAAGCTGAATAGGTTGGAAGAGCTACTCTACATGGACACACAGATCAAGCAGACCAAGAAGACACTTGACGTCGACCAATTCGCCAAGGACGAAGCCGAGCAGCAGCAGCGCCTCTTCGCCGAGGCTGCAGCTCAGTCAAGCATGGCTGAGCCGCAGAAGGAAAGCGAGACAAATGCTCTTGCCGACGAGTCGGAAGAAAGTCAGCGGACAGCGAAGCGTCGCAAATCTACGGCTGAAACAGCGGGAAAGGGCTCGAAGAAAGGCAAAGGGAAAGAAAGGGAGAGCGGTAGGGGCCGCAGTGGTAGCCCGACTGCCATGGAAGAATAAGTAAAAAAGCCCCAAGAGCGTCGCATCTCATAGATCGGACTGTAGCATACATTTCTGTAGCATACCTCGTCAAGCGCATTCAATTGTCCAAAATCTGAGACAGGGCCTGCTGTCTTTCACTTTTCTGCAGACTATTTTCCTCGCACTCCCATTCGAGAACGCTACGAGCAACCTCGCGATGTCGCTCCTGTGCGAACATCATCTTTGTCAGTTGTTGAACGAATGTGCTCTTCTGCAAGGGGGCCTCCTTCCAAATTGCAGCAGAGATATGGTGGACTGCGATGGCGAACAGGAAGTCGTTCCGATTCTCCTTCACCTGGCCGGACAGGAGAGCAGCTGCATAGAGTTCCAACACGGTCACGTCCGTCTCGGCAGGCTCGCAGAAACGTTCAAATGGACTGGCGTTTCTCCTTTCAAGCTTGAGTGTCGGCAGGATATGTGCAAAATCATTCCAGAGGAGCCGGCGATAGTCCGAAGAATACCTCATAGCGAGAGGTTGGACGACCGCAAGCGCAAAGGTGGCATCGCCGAATGAGACGGCGTCATAGACACCAAGCAAGTCCGAGTAGAGTTGAAAGAACGGTAAGTCTGGCCCGAACACACGGGCCGTTGCGTTCTCAATGTCGTCACCTTCAGAAGTCTCTAAAGCGCTTGCCAGTGCACAAAGGTTCTTTAGCTGGGCAGATACTTCGGGATCTCGAAAGAGGTCCCTGCCTGTAAGAGCGCCAGTTGCTGCCCCACTCGATGCATCATTTCCCTCGAGCAGAAATACTTTGATGATACTGAGCCAAAGCTCTGCAGCGCTAGGAGCCCCATCAGCAACGTCCTCTTCAAAACTCTGGAGGCAACTGATGGCGAAGGAGAGAGTAGCCAAGACGACGTCCTTTTCGTTGTAGTCCCATTTTGCCGGCAGTGCGCCAGGACGGTTGAAGACCGCGCTGTTCCCACTGTGCATCAACTCGTCCAATGGAAGAAGAGGCCAATCTCGGCGAAGTGGAAGCCGGTTCCCTAGGCATCGCCAGAACTGTGCGCCGGTCGCTGGGTCGAAGTCTTCAGAAGCCTCTGCATCTTCTTGCACATGGTGGATCGGAAGATATCGTGCGTTGCTGCTATATGCTGTCGCGATCTCTGACGGATGCTCGATGCCTAGGATCAGTGAAGCAGGCAGCTCACTTTGATTTCGCAAGGCTTCCTTGAAAAAAGGTTGAATTATATCCTTTTGGGCAGATATTGAGAGCACCTGGTCGATTATTTGTCGCGCGACCGCCTCTTCATTCGGACAGAGTTTTGCCAACAGACGCAAACCGATGCTAGGCTTGGACCTATTGATCCGCGATTCCTCACGCACAAATCTTATGATGGAATGTCTTATTGCTGTAAAAATGCCTAGCTGCGAAGTTCTCCTTGCAAGCCAGGCGAGGGACTCCGCAGCTAGCGCTGAATCAGCTTCGATTTGACGACCTGAAGAGTCGAGGAGGCGTGTCAAACCAAAAGAAGCATCAAAGGCGCTGGCCGCGGTATCTGCCAAAGTCAACGCTGCAACACTATTGAAAATCTGATCGACACAGAGTTGATGTAGAACGACAAGTGCGGCCGACGAAGCTTGCTCCAATAGTTTTGCGATCTCGTCTTTGTCGGCACCTGACAGCGAGAACGTGAGTGACGCTTCTGGATGACGCCGAGCGCCGCGCAAAGCCGAAGCAAGATGCGAGGCCGCTGCGCTCACGGTCTGGGTGGCGCCGCGTGAAAGTGAGGATTGTCTTTTCGCATGGCGCAGCAGCACCAACAAGCTGAAGCGAGGCCAATCCTTCACCGTGTCCCAAACGATGTCGTGCCCTCCTGGTGTGCTGGCATGCGGGTCTGTAGCGCAGACAGTCCAGACGTGAAGCAGATTAAAGCAAGCTGCTTCCAAGCTATCTAACTGTGCGCCCTCAGATGATTGTTCGTTCGCGGTCTGCAGCATCGCCATGAGCCTTGACAACGTATTCCAGAGAAGCGCAGCAAGCCATGTTGCAAGGCCATAACGTCCGAGGCTGGCCAGAATTTGCAGCGAGAGTTGAAGGATGGAGTTGCCATGTTGGTTTGCGCTCGGCGGAAGCTCTGGCTGTATGTTAATGAAGCGGATCAGCGTTGAGATCAGCCTTTGATTTGAGGCCAAAACTTCGGCAGAGCGGCGGGACGCGCGAATCAATGCGTCCAAAGCTCTCAATCCCTCGAGCGAAGGGGCATCTGTCTGCGTTGAAGGTTGAGGCAAATGATCGGCGTCTTCAATCAGAGGCCAAGGTCGATCGATGTGGGAGATGATTCGTCCGATGAGATGCTTCTCCTGAAGCACGGCTTCCGACCCTTGCAAGCCGTATTCGCATAGCCACTTGATCACTTTAAAAGTCTGTTCCTGTGTGTTGCTGTCCTGGGGCGGCACTCGTCTGGACAGGCGCAAATCGCCAAGCAGTGCATCGAGCTTGCTGACGATACCAAGGCCAAGGAGTTCCTGTATCACTTCTGCTTCCTTTGAGATTTTGGCTTTCGCCTTGCATTCGACATTGCTGTTTGATTGTGCGGCGAGAGCGCAGGGCAGATACTCCAGCGAGCGCACGAGACATTCCAACACATGTTCTCGAATGTTGCGCGCAGCATCGCCAAGCATCCAGGCAGCCAGAATCGCTACTCGACTGTGTACTTCCTTGGTCACCAGCACGCGCCAGGCTGCATCCTGATTGGATGTCTTGCTCAGCTCGGCCTTGACCGGTAGTTCCAATTGGGGAGGGTGTCGCTCGAGTACTCTGGCAAGAACACAGAAGAACAAGCGCCTCTGAGCTGCCGCAGTACTGCGACACAGCTGCAAGATGCTGTCGATCGTAAGCGCTTCGCCTGCAGCTTCAGCAGAGGCAAGCCTCGACGAGCCAGGAAGCAGCTCCAAGCCATCGAGTGTAAAGCGTGGCTCCGAAGGAGAAGCGTTGGGGATGTTTGCGTGATGATGAGGGTGGCCATCATGGTGAGTCTGATCCTCGTTTGCTTGAGGTGCCGCCGAAACCTCTAGTGGTCGCGCACTCTCCGGCTGGCTTCGATACGCCCCTTCAATCGTCGAGGCAGTCTGAGTGGACCCTACCCTTGCGACAAGTGGTGCGAAAGACTGTCGTGATGCATCTTTTTCCATAAGGTCATTAGACGCAGCGCCTTGATCTACCGCCGCTTGATCCTTTCTTGACTTTCTCTCGCGAAAGCGCTCTAACAGCTCTTTGCCGAAGGTCTTCTCCAAGCTTTGCAACTCCATTTGCACTTCCTTGCCACTCATGCCCGCCACCTTTGCTGCATTCTCTTTAAAAAGGCTGCGAAGCATGTCTGCTTCTGCACCGCCAGGCACTTCCGCGGCCGAGGCTCTGACGCTTGTGTCAGCCGAGTCTGTTGACTTTAGAAATGGGGCGCGGGGCGAGGTTTGGGAAGAATCCATCGAATCTTTGAGCGCAGCGAGCATCGCCTCCGGGTCCACTCCACCCCCTGGATCTCGAGTCACGTCACGTTGGATCGGTGCTGTCAGCCGGGCTTCGACCTTGCTCGAGGGCTGCATAGCACAGTTCCCCTCTTGGTCGTGTTCTTTCCCTTTCGTCATCGCCATCGCCTTGGCCCTGCTTGCACCTGAAGAGTCCGCCATGAATGGACTGTTGGCATAACCCTGCTGCATGAACCTTTTTCTTCGAAAAGCACTCATTGGCTTTCCACTCTCATCGCGCCATACGTCGCCTGATTCCGCTCGCAATGAGTCTGGTACCTTAACAGACTTGAGTTTGGGGTTCTTCGAGTCAAGAGGGTAAGCCGGTGATCGCGACGCCGCGAACTTGGATTCTGGCAGAAACGGAGCACTTCTCTCCGTGACGAAGCCTATCAGGGATGGACTGGGGCCCGAACAGTTGGAAGGCGTGCTTTCTTGTGGCCCATTCTGATTTTCTGTCATCGGTGAGACTGAAATACAAATGTGTGATCGGAAGGCTTGTCAGAATGCCTCGAAAAGCCCTTCAAAGAGCCGCAATGCTTACCTTGCGCAAACTTTGACACGTTTTGTGCAGCTTTTGGGGTTGAGGAGAGCGCAGCGGTCTCCTTTCTGTGGTCCTTATCCCTGCTGCTTCCAACACGAGGAGGCTTGCCTCGAACAACATGAGCTGCGGGTCTCCATTCTATATCACTATCTTCTTCTTGTCCGGCCCCATTAAGGGCTGCTCTGCGCATCGCAGCGCGAAGGTACGGGTCACTTGAGCCATCGTCGTCCTGAGGATGACTTCCGCTATACTCGGCCTCGTCAGGCAAGTCGAACGAGGCGAGTTCCGACCAGCTGGGCCGAACCTTTTGACGGCTGATGCTGCCGTCGGTCCGGTTCAGGCTGGCCATATCTTCGATTGAACTTTTACAATGTACTCTGAAGAGTCTTCCTCTGCATGTTCAAGCGCCAGTACAATCTAAATGCATTTCTCTCCTGTAGCCACCAGCGATGACATCCATGACCATAGCGTTGTACTAGACAAAGACCGTTGCTCTGTCTGCCACCGTCGGGGGGGTGGAAAGACGCTCAACTTTCGAAAAGTTTTCCCGTTTCGCCCTCTATCTCTCTGCGAAACATTTTGTCCATGCGACACTGACAACTACTGCAAGCCCGCAGATAGGAAGACCTTTCTTTCCCGCTATATTTCAACTTGACACTCCTTACGCAGCAGTTGGTGTCCAAACCGGCAGGAAGAGGACATAGGATAAGGAAATCAGCACGCTCAGAAGCTTTTCTACCAACATGTCTTCTTCATCTGTTTCAGCGGCAGCCCAGCCCGGCGTCACTCCGACAAACGGCTCCGCGCCTGCGTTCGGCGAGATGACCTCGAAAGACTAGTCAGTAATGGCCTACCGCTGCCTTTCATCGAGGATCGGGTGGCACCTTTGGATGATCCACTGACCTGCTCTTGCATCTTGCTAACTATAGCTATGCGGACTCGTACAGTCACTGTGAGAACTGACAAAGGCACAGCTTTATTCTCGACCATTATGCTAATTTCAATGTGTTCGACCGGCAGTTGGAATTCACGAGGAAATGCTCAAGGTGAATCGTCGCTCCTTTGGCATTCAGGCAACACCTGAACGCAAATTGGCGCAGTGACTGAAGGCTGTATATGCTAAACCTTCTGAATATCTTGCAGGACCAAGTCCGGACGCTCTCTTACCGCGACGCGATCATCCAAAACCCGCACCTCTTCAAGGACAAGATCGTGCTCGACGTAGGGTGTGGCACTGGAATCTTGTGCATGTTTGCGGCCAAGGCAGGTGCAAAGAAGGTCATTGGTGTGGACATGAGCAACATCATCGATCAAGCGAAAGTGATCATTGAGGCGAATGGATTCAAGGATGGTGAGTGCCACTTGGGAGGCAACGCAAGCTCGGAATTCTGTGCTACATGCTGACTTTACCTTCATTTTGTTCTTATTTAGTCATTCACCTCGTCAAGGGAAAGCTTGAAGAGGTCGACCTCGGACTCGGACCAGATGGGAAAGTGGACATTATCATTTCCGAGTGGATGGGCTACTTTCTCCTCTACGAGTCCATGCTCGACACTGTTTTGCTTGCGCGCGACAAGTACCTTCGTCCTGGCGGCCACCTCTTCCCCGATGAGGCGACACTGTACCTCTCCGCCATCGAAGACCAAGAATACAAGGAGGAGAAGATTGGCTTCTGGAATGACGTATATGGCTTCGACTATTCCTGCATCAAGGAGATTGCACTTCGCGAGCCGCTCGTGGATACTGTTGAGCTGCGCTCGGTCGTATGTGATCCATGCGCTATCAAGAAGCTCAACCTGCTTACATGCAAGAAGGAGGATCTGGACTTTACCGGCGAGTTTGAACTCAAGGCAACTCGCAACGATTTTGTGCACGCCTTCCTCGGCTGGTTCGACATCTCCTTTGAAGCGTGTCACAAGGCTGTACGCTTCTCCACCGGTCCGCACTCGCGCTACACGCACTGGAAGCAGACTGTCTTTTACACGCCAGAGCAGCTCATCGTCAGCGAGGGCGATGTGATCAAGGGGACACTCAAGTGCTCGCCAAACGCAAGGAACAACAGGGACCTGGACATTAACATTAAGTACCGTGTTGAAGGTGACATGAGCATCGAGGGTGAGATGGCGTACAAGATGTGAGTTCCTTGATCGAAGCTATGCGAGCCCTTCGGATGATATATACAGTGTGGGGAGACTGAACGCTGACGCCTCACAGGTCCTGATCACTCCATCTTGTTGTGCCGTTCCCTTGTAACTTGCCTTGCGTCTGTTCTTGCGCACATGCTCCTGTTCAATCGCCTGCCCCGCTCTCGCTTTGCAGGTACTGATGCCTCGTCGGCATTTCGGGGACATCAGGAGCTTGTCTCTATCATTTCGACACACCAAAATTGGACGCCTGGCCCCGCTTGTGATAGAGATTGCACTCGTAGCAGCAATGTATACTACGTAGCCACGCCGTTGGCTTTGCTCCTCTCAAGTCGCCAGTCCTTCCCATCCTTCCTGCCCGCATGTCTGCCTATCAAAATGCGTCGGGATCAACTTGTCTAGTTCAACGAGATTACAATACGCCCGTAAGCGAGGGCAATCTTGACACCAGATGCAGCATCGTCTCTTCGTTAGTATACCCACCCTAAATCGACTTTTTCGGTGCATGTGTTGCGTTCAGATCTTTACGCGACCTGCGCGCGCGGTGGTCCTGCCCAACTCCTTCGCGATTAACAGTCAGAAACGAGCTACAGCTTCGAGCTAGTGCTTAGCGCTGAGCTTGCGCGCCACATTAGTCTTTGGCCACTCATAGTCTTGGTTGCTATTGTAGCAATGGTAGGCCAAGTAAGCAAACTTGCTCCGCAGCCAATAAGGCCTTCTCGTGCGCTTCCATTGACTCACTCTCGCTGAAATCCATACTTTTCCACAAACTTGTCCAGGCTGGCCGGACCACGGGACCCATACTGATACGGCTCATTCTTGAGCTTGCCCGCGTCGATGGCGTGCAAGATGGGCGTGAAAATCTTCCAGCTGACGTCGAGCTCGTCATCGCGTACGAAGTTGCTGTGGTCGCCCTGCAGCGCATCGAGGATGAGCGCTTCGTATGCCTCCGGAATGCGCGCGTCCGAGAAGCGGTCCTTGTATGTCAGATCCAGATCCGCCGGCAGCGGCTCAAAGGCCAGACCGGGCGCCTTGGCGTTCATCTTGAAGTACACTGCCTCGTTCGGCTGGATGCGCAGGACAAGCTCGTTGCGGATGAGCGCCGGCCTGCTCTTGTCGTTACTGCTGCTGCTGCTTGCGTCGCTTCCAAACAAATCCCCCGGCGCATCCTTGTACTGCACCCGGATCTCGACCTTGGCTTCATCCAGGGCTTTGCCTGCCTTGAGCACGAATGGAACACCCTTCCACCTTTGCGAGTTGATCCACAGGGTGAGTGCGGCAAACGTTGGGCAGTTTGAGTCCTTGGGGACAGTGTCGTCGTCCTTATAGCCAGGCTTGCCGTTGGCGGCAGTGTACTGGCCGATCAGCACGTCCTCCTCCTTGATCGCCGGAACGTGCTGCAGCACCTCAACCTTCCTGTCTCGAATATCCTCGGCGCCAAAAGTCTTCGGCCGCTCCATAGCGAGTAGCGACAGCACTTGCGACAGGTCTGCGAGAGATCAGTCAGGTTAGCGCGAAGCAGAGAGAAAAGCACGATCGCCAGATGTCAGATGGACGCACGATTCTGCTGAATATCCCGAACGATGCCGAATTCATCAAAGTAGCCGCCGCGCCCCTCGGTGCCGAACGGCTCCTTGAAGGTGATCTGCACATTGTCAACGTACTGGCTGTTCAGCGTGGCGTCGATGATGGGGTTGCCGAAGCGCATGATGAGAATATTCTTGACCATCTCTTTGCCAAGGTAGTGATCAATGCGGAATGTCTCCTCCTCCTTCCACAGGGGTTTGAGTGCGCCCATCATCTCCCGGCAAGTGTCGAGGTCCTTTCCAAATGGCTTCTCGATGACGATCCGGTTGGAGCCGCGCTGCGAGTAGCAATTGTTCTTCAAACCTTTTGCGACGACAGTAAAAACGTTGGGGGGTAGAGCCATGTAGAAGAGTCGATGCGCTTCGGATGCTCCACGCTCCTGTTCGATCTTCTCCATCTCCTTGTTGAGGTTTTTGAAAGCGGCATCTTCGTCATAGGCACCTGGCAGATAGGTGCAGAGCTTGAGGAACTCTGCCTTGGCCTTGGAGCCTTCGTCGCTGTCGACATTCTTGAGGTACTGGCTGATCTTGCCGTGGAAGGTGGGCTGGTCCATCTTGGTGCGTGCATAGCCGATGATCGAGGTGCCCTTGGGAAGCAAGTCAAGGCGAAAGAGGTTGAAGAGGGCTGGGTAAGTCTTCCGAGAAGCCAGAGTATGCGAGATCAGTTGGGTCAGCAGGCCCATCAATCTGGTAAAAGCGAAAGAGGAATCGTACCTTTTTCTTTGCCAAGTCGCCCGATGCACCGAGGACGACGATGGCGGTCTCGTCGGTGAGCTTCTTCATGCCTGCCTGGGCCATTTTGAATTCAAGTACCTCTAGCGAACTAGTGTTCCAACGAGAGGTCTTCTTGAGAAACACCACCCTGTGCCGGTCGATCAGGGATGAGGGATGGCTGACTGAACCGAGCAGTTGAGATGTCGAATGTGAACGCGACAGATGTGATGTACAGTATACCCGAGTTAGCTCTGGCTCCAGGTTGGCCTGTTCTGCAAAGTGAAGGGTGGTCTGGGTGGCTTGCTTCTGCCTCTGGGATGACGTAGAGCTTGTCGACGATGCAGACAAGGAGCGAGTAGCAGGCGAGAGGACCAATGCATAGTGCCGGGTCCGAGAGGTGGTTATGACTAAAGATGTTGGGGCTTGCCAACATGTGTGTGTGTTGGCCGCTGGGGAGTGAGAGAGAGAAAGGAGAAGACTGATAGTTTGCCGGAGCTGTCTGACTGTCAGTGGCGGACCGCGGCACTGGCTGGCTGGCTGGCTCGAGCGCAGTCTGAGAAGAGTCCTCTTTTGCCGTCGTGCTGCAGCAATGATCGTCCATGTTGATGTCATTTTCCCCTGCTGGCGGGTGAGCTTCTTCCTCTTTCTCCGCTCCGTATATACTGAATGTCTCGTCTTCTCGCGCATGTTTGCGTTAATCGCCGTGCGCTGTTTACAAGTTCCCAATCCATGCGTAACACTTCGTGCTTGACAAGCATCCTTTTTGCTGCCACAAGACCTACCCAAATGGTTGATCATCGGCGTACAGCTGTCGTAGGCGCAGACGCTTTGAATTTTCGACACGCAGAGATTGGTAATTGGAGACGGAAACGGGCAAGGACAAACACGACCCCAACCTCACCCCCTGTGGTGTTCCTGGTCAAGCCGGCTCGAGCCGCCAGAACGCAAGACATGTGCTTGCTAGCATTTTTAATTGCAGCGAGCCAATCCTAAGAAGAGGGTGCTCCACACAGCGATGCTGCATATGATTAAAAGCTGCGTTGCCGAAAAGGAAGGTTTCAAAGACTCCCCCTTCGATTATGGACCTTCGACCACAATGCCGATGATCAATGGGGTCGTCAAGCAACCATTTCTCTTGATCATGATACAGACTCGAAACTCTGAAGGATCACTTCAAATGCGACTTGCATCTGTAACTGTTCTTGTCATGTTGGACTTCCGGACAGCACTATGGATGTGCTGCGTGTGGCCGTATTGACTGACATCATCTTTGAAGCCGGCGGCGAATGTTGGCTGCCCGCATGCATCGAACGTGCTTCTCAACAGCCGATCAAAGGCGTTTTCATTTTTTTTCTGAATTCTAGACGAATTGCTGATTTTCAGTGGATTGGGTCATTCACATCTTCGCACCGGCAGTGCCCACAGAGGAATGTGTCGTTACTAGCACCCCCCCTCGGCCGGCGCCAGCGGTGCAGTATGTCAAACGATCACATCGGGGATATCATCCATCTAATGTCCTCATACCGATAATTTTGAGAAATGCAAACTAAAAGATGAGCGAAGAGCGATGTGCACAGAAACGAATGGCGCATATGGGCCTGCGGGGCGAAGTGCACCCTCGCTTTTTAATGCATGCAGTCCACTGATATATCCCTCAATGAGCCGCAAAGCCAGCCTACGGCCACTTACCTTACCCTACAGCTCTTATGCCGCTTTCGAAGCATGGCATCGACTTCGAGCCTTGCGTGACATATGTTGATTGTCAATGCGAACACATGCCGAACACATGGTGCTGATCGCTTCAAGCACTCAGATTGCTGAACGGAGAAGTGGGTACCCACTGGCGAGCACTGGTCACCCTGCGCTCGCACTTTCTTGCGCGCGCAGCCAGGTGCTAACTTTTCCTTGGCAGCCTATGCCACCACATCGATCTGTTATGCGCACCAAACAGAGATGTACCTTCCTACTCTTCTATAAAGTGCAAGGATTGGAAGCATGGGATAGCAATGGAGCAATGGAAGATTTAGCATAGCACAGCTCGATCCTCACTACCATCTTGCAGCCGCCAGCTCAGCCAACAGTGCAACGGGGCCTATTCGAAGGTGCTTGCAGCCACCAGGAATGCGCTACCAAGACCTTCAGAAGTGAGAGACCGGCACTCGTCCGGACTAGCCTTCCAGACCGCCACGCTATGAAAGATGTCGTTTCCGACATCAACTAAGAAGAGCGCAAAGAGCCCTCATGGGAAGGTCGACACCAGTCTCAATGGAGCTACAAAGTCTGTCATCTCTGGCGACTGCCAGGAAAGCGGGGCTCATGTGACATCATCATCGTCATCTCCTCCTGCAACGCAGGGCAATACGCATCAGCCACGCCACGCGGAGACGACGTCAACACATCACTCTGCCGCCGTTACTGCCCGCAATCTGGCGGCAAGAGTCGCGTCTGCTCCAAAAGGCGCCAAGCACAAGGTCTTCAAGAGCAGAGTTCGTGCAGCTGGTGCAAAAGCCGGGAGGCTAGTCACAGAATTTAACGGCAAAGTGGTTGACCTGAGCTCCTTCAATGATCCGCATTCACCTGCGAATCTGGTCGTGTCGCCAAGGAGCGCCTTGTCTGAGCCGGATCCAGCAGCCGCAGGAACAGCGGCTTCCTGCTCGCTTGAGTCGCATCCGCCATTGCTCACTGCAGCATTTAGCGTGGATGCGCCTAGTACCGTCCGTGGAGACGGCACTCCGGCCAAGTGGCCGAGCGAGGCCATGAGGATGCGCATTGACAGCGCTGCGCACGGGGCTGCAACGCCGCAAGACTGGCATCAGTCTTATCCGTCATCTACGTGGAGCGGTGAGCATGTTGAGCAACAGAGGCGACAAACGAAGGATCGACTGGAGCGCGAACGACAGCTGGCAGAGCTGGAGCTGCAGCAAAGGGAGATGATGGAAGAGCATGCTAGGAGACTCAACATTTTCATGCGTGATGCATCGGATTTGTCGCTTCGGCAGCGCGTTGAGGACTACGTTCTTCTTGATTTCGAGGTTGCACAGCTCCCAAGACAACATGATTCTTCCTTCTGCAAGCGTCCGCTTCATGGCCGACGCGACAGTCAATACTCGAGTCACTTCGCCGACGAGTACTCGAACAACGACGAGCATCGTGACGTGCTCGAACTTGTGCAGGACGTCATTCAAAAGACAAAGGCAACGAGTGGCCTGCGCTACATCACCCTCGCATCCTCTACTACGACGCCGGATGGGTCTGAACGGCCCATTGCGAATCTACCACCGCGGAGTCTCGAGGAGCGCTGCCGCCAGATGCGCTCGGGAGGCTGGCCGAGGTCCAGTGACGAATTGTCTTCGTCATCGTTGTTAGCAGGAGACGAACCGGAACCTGCGTCATCATGCCCAGGGCGTGGCAATACTCCGCATCGCGAGGCATGGTGCATCACGCCACCTGAAGGCATGGACCATGACGACTTCCTTAACCTCCTCTTACAACAGCAGGAAACTATTCTTTCACAGCGAGGGGACCGACAGCCGGCTGCCGCTTTTGAGTGGTGGCCATCCTCGTACACACCCGAACAGCATTGGTCGGATCTATGGCAAGCAGCTGGCACCGGGCAGCTCATACATGCTGTACCTGATCCTCATGGTGACAGAGAAGATGATCTTTCATCGGCTCAGCAGCAAAGCTCAGAACAGCCACCAAGTAGCATTCAAGAGATGTCTGACAACCTGGATGGTGGTGCGAGCGGGGCTGCATCGAAGCGGGCTGAAGCTAAAGCTCGCAAGAACAAAAAGAAGCTGGAGAAGCGGAAGGCGAAACGAGTAAGTTGAGCGTAGCAAGGCTCTCAGTCTTACTATTTGCAAAGCTGACAACTCACTTCGTTTGCAGGCAAGGGAAAGGCACGATGTTCAACAGGGGTTAGCAGCTTCTGCCATGCATGTCAACGGTCCAAGGCCTGAGCCTTTCGCTGTCTCATCCGGTGACGCGAGTACCGATTGGCAAGACGATGAGCTTGGAGCCGGCTCAACCCTGCAGCAAAGCTTTTCTGGCACTCCTCACGATCGAGAGCGTTTTCGCCCTGAGACAGGTTTCACATATGAGGAGAGCGATGTTGAAGGAAATACGCTAGCACCGTGCACTGGTACTCCTGCTCAAAGAGATGCACGCGTGACTAGGTGGGACATCCCGCCTTGCAATGGTAACTCAAGTGCTGCCAGTGGAAGCTCAAAGTCAAGCTGCAGTGAGGTCGCCCTACAGTCGGGAACACAGCTGTTCGAGCCCAGCACAGAGCCTTTCAGCGATATCAGCTTGCGGGATATCGAGGTGTTCTCGTCCGATCTTTGTCCGCAGCCAGACTCCAAGCAGCCAAATGATTTAGATACTAAAGGATACAGCAGTCCTGATCAACTATCTTCTCGACCGGGCTTAGACGAGGAATGTATACGTCGACCTCGGGATGCGTCGGACGACGGCTCGTCAAATCCAATCATTTCGCGCGAAAGTGCTCCTTCATTCCGTCCGCAGGGGTTAACAGTCTTGTGCGAGGCCCAAGTATCTGAGCACAACCCGAAGACTGCTGTCCCGTCACTCCAGGAAAACAATAGGCTGGTCATCGACGCTTTCCACCCATCATATCAACTGCACACCAAGGCGGCCTCACATTTCCCAGGTCATGCGAGTGTCCTGGATACTGTAGACTTGTTATCGGACGTCGAAACTTGCAGCAACAGCGCGCATTCCGATAGCTCCGAAGTCTCTCTCCCAACGTATCACTTACTTTCGCTTTTGGAAACGAATGGAGCAGAAGAGCGGAAATGGCTCCATTCGCTGGAGAGTGTAGAGGCTCAGGAGCATGACGCAATCGAGAGGTTCCTCAATGATTCGGACGAGGCTTGGCGCGTTGCTATGGGTTACCCGGTGAGAATCTTTCATGAATTTTCACCCCGTCTGCTTCTGACACAATCAAGTTCAGGCCCAATATACCACGCTGGAAGAATTCCAGGAGCGCAAGGATTTCCTTGATACAAGGATGTCGGTATGCGAAGGCTCTCAAAGAAGTTTGTCCTCTGACTCTGGAGCCCATTGGCCTCGCGGAGACCTTGCTGGATCATTCCTCCACACGCCCACCCCGTACAGGTCGATAGGCGCCTCCAGCGATCCATCTGTTTCTCCAGCGCTTATCTCCAGTACTGAAGCTTTGTGTGCCTCATACGATTACGTGAGCTCAGAACCGAATGGTGAGCCTGCGATCTACATGGAACCTCCTAGACAGTTCGAGGACGTCAAAGCATCATTGCATCGGCAAGAATCATTGCAGCCACTGCCCCGAGCTCTCACGTCCATTATGATGGCTAATCGGATATCCGGCAACAAGCCGCCGTTCTTTTCCCACACATCAAGACACTGTCCGCCTTCTTCAGGATTCAGGCCAGCGACAATATCTGTGCAGCACACTTACAGTGAGACTGATTCAACTCGAGAACTCATAGCCCGGAGTGGCCAGAGTTCTGGTTCCCTGCACCCGTTGTCTGAAAGCAACGCAGTCCTATTTCCTATGGGTATCGGTGAGAATTGGATGCTACCATCCTATTTCAATACGCCCGCAGGGTCAGCGCCATTTTTTTTCCTTTGCCAACCGCCACCGCTGTACGCAGGGTGGTACCATTTGTCGGCGTCGGGGCATGAGCCGCGAAGGGTTGCGTGGCCAGTGCAATTGCACGCGGAACCACTTCAGCCCCACGATGGACTCTCTCATGCACATTCTGACGTCGCCAACGAGACCAAAAGCATTGTCGAATACTCTTGTCCTGCCGCAGCCCACCTCGTTGCTTCTCCAACAAGCTGTCCATGAGCTAGTCACCGACGGTTGGCTTTACAATGCTCGCATACAGTTTGAGGGCCGGAGGGATATCTCGGTTCTGGTTCAGATGTCTCAGGAGGACTCGTTAAGCCAATGTATGCAGGGATCGCCAGAATGCGAATTGTCGACTCTAGTGAATGGAATCATTTTCTTTGGTCGTACTGATGGTACAAGTTGTATGATGACCTTTGCTCCCTTCCCTTGGAGATTTTTGAGAGTCAGAAACTGAGGGGAGAGGTTTGTAAATTAGGGTTCGATCTGTGGCGCTCCCTCATTTTTTTCGCCGGCTGGCTGCCTTAAAGTACCGATTTGTAGAGCGATTAGTGATGAGCGATGAGAAGCAGATGAGCAATATCGACCGACGTGTTGGCAAGGTGTAGAACGTATGGTTAATACTGCCTGTGTCGTGAAGCGCTAGGTATTGACGAGACAGGACGGCGACCCAAAACGTGTCAGGTCCCTCAAGAAAGGCAAAAGGCAAAGGCCTACATCGCATGGGCACACCGTGGTTCTGAACTGGCGGAGGTCGACTTCAACCAAAGCTGTCCATACGGGTTGCGTAACGTGGACGGCAACGTGGATTGCGAGGGACTTACGATGACCGACGGCGCTAAGAATGAGAACTCCTGTCCCGAAGTGACGAGATATGAGCGGCATACTCGCCTACAAGAGGCGGCCCCTAAGGACAGCAAGTTCGAGCCAAAAGATACAGCGTACTTTTCGTACTACTCGCTCCTCAGCCATCAAGCGCAAATGCTACAGGACACCACCCGCACATCCGTTTATCAACGAGCTATCCTGAGCAATGCGGAAGACTTCTTTAATGGGAGAATCGTTATGGACGTTGGTGCTGGTAATGGAATCCTATCTCTATTCTCGGCACAAGCAGGCGCCTCTGCTGTGTACGCCGTGGAGGCGTCCAATATGGCCCAACGATTGCAGACTCTGCTAAATGCTGCTAAGATACCTTCAACTGAAGAGCAGAAAAGAGATGGGCTCGTGTGTGCGCAGAGCGGCCAGATAGCTATCGACATGGACGGACCTCGCAAGCCATCGAATACCTGGTTGAAAGGGAGGGTGAAGGTTGTGCACTGTGCGTCACGCGCGTGTGTGGTCTCCATCTATGAAAGCTGACTTGAGCAAACTGTCTCGCTTATTTAGCCAAAATGGAAGACGTTACACCAGAACTACTAGATGGCAACGAAAAAGTGGACACGATTGTCAGCGAATGCCTCGGCGTAGTGAGTCCTTCTGAGCGGTGAACACTACAGTACAAGTGCAAGTCAATTCATCACCGCGGGCTATCCTGCAGCTGCTGATCCACGAAAGAATGTGCGAGTCATTCATTGACGCGCGTGATCGGTTCTTGAAACCTGGAGGCGCCATGTTTCCTTCTGCTGGCACGATCTGTCTGTGCCCTATCGAGGACAAGCAGCTTTGGGTGGACACGAGCAAGAAGGCGCAATGGTGGTGTAACGAGGTGAGTGCGATCATTTGCATAAGTTGTGTTTCTCTCAGCTTCTCATAAATACCATTTGTTTTTGCCATTGCAGGACTTCTATGGCCTCGACTTGACACCGCTGGCGGACGCAGCATGGGAGGAGACTTTTGCGGCTGCGATTGTCGGCTACTTTGCACCCTCTGTATTGCTCGCCACCTCGTCTGACTACACCATCGACTTTACTACAATTACGAAAGAGGCGCTGCAATCCTTCGAGATGCCTGTGGAATGGAGCTTTGCGCAAGCTGCCGTTGTCCACGGTCTGGGCGGCTGGTTCGACTTGCACTTTTTACCATCGTCAAGCACAACCCTAGGCCTTTTGAGCGGTGGCAGTATCTCTAATGCGCCACCTCCAATCTTCAAGCCTGATCTCAAAAAAGAGGAGAACATGGTTGATGCCACCGCCGAAGAGCTCGCTGACCCGACGTCAGCACCGCTCTCCTCGACATCAACTTCCGTGTACGGCGGGATGCACGCCTCCGCAGCTTCGTTCCAGCCGTCGCCATTACGTGCTGCCTCATTAGACGCCGTCATTTCGGGTTTCTCAGTGGCTCCATCGACCAGTTACATGACGACCAGTCCTTATGCCGCTGTCACACACTGGCAGCAGGTTCGCTTCCTGCTCTCAGACCCGATTGCTGTTAACAAGGGGCAGAGACTTGTGGGCAAAATTCTCTTTGAAGCCAATGACCAGAGGTACGCATTTTCCTTTCCCGCGACTCAATTTTCATGCCAGAGCGGCAGCTGAAATGCTCTTTCCGACCCACGCAGATCCTACGACATGCATGCGGAGCTATATGTCGCAGATGCATCCGGTGCGCCGTGCAAAAATCACTCCTTGAAGCGATCAGCCTTTTGGAAGCTGGATAGGCAGACGTACTGCTGAAAATCTTCGAAATAAATCAGTCTGGAGTCCGATTCTTCCTCATGCGTCCTATGACCCGCACATACGTGATCCACTCATCGAAGCTTCGAGGTACATATCTGCCCTGTGTCGTGCACGGTTATTAGTGACCGTTGAGGGTGATCCCTCGCCTTGAGACAGGCGACGCAGGATGTTACTATGTATTTGTATACGCGCGGGCATTGCAGCATGGGTCCGAGGCAAGCTCGAGCGCTTTCGGGAAGCTGCTCTGCTGAAATCTCCAACTGGGCGATGTGATGAGTAATCGTGATCCCCCTTTCTTTACATTGTATAATAGCGTTATCCTTCCATCACATTGCCGACGTAGAAGTATGCTCCACATAAAGGCGCAGCCACATGCGCCACGTCCACTTTCATCTCAAATCGAGTCGTTGAAGCAGCAATGCCTCAAACGGGTGTTCTGTGACTCCAAGTCAATTTTTTTTTTCTAGCGCAGAACATTTGATCTGCACACTGAGATGGGGCTGAGCAGGTGCAATCCTGGATCAACCGTGGGGGCGGAAAGGCAAAGTGACCGTCGTTTGAATTTCGTCCTGGACCCTGACGGTTGATGTTGGCGGTCTCAAGTAAAAAGACAGGCGCACTTCCGAAATCTTCATTCTCACCCTGATGGAGAAGCTATATTTTCAGAGAGCTCATAATCAAGGTATTAATTAGATGGGGCACGATTTGCTGCCTAAGGTCAAGGATGCATGCACCTGGATCCAAATGGATGGTTTTTTAAAAATCAATCACTAAAGGCTTGGAACCTTGTAGAAACCTGTTCAAAGTACCGTCAATCCACGACGCACAAGCTTATATGATGTGTAAAGCAACAGCCTACTGAGACTGTAATGTACATAGCGGCATGACGTTGACCGTTGCTGAATACTTGGTCGGCGGGCTCCAATCGCGTGGGTAATTCGTGTATGCTTACGTAACCAATATCCATGGCAATGCTCCATGGTGCTCTCGCTACAGCGTCAATTGTTGAGACCTTTTGGTCCGCTTCTCTATGATCCCACTCCATGGCTATGCCCTCAAGCTTTCTGAGTCACAGGAATTCAAGCTGGACGAAACACTGCAAGAAAGACAGCAGTCGCCATGCATGTTCCAAGGCTCAGGCCACACTGTGCAGCAACAGACACAGCCAATGCAAACGACCGAAGAAATGGTTTGACACGAAGTGATGACATGCCTGGCAGTCACGATGACCCATGTATAAAAAGAACGCTTGTGCTCGAGATGGAAGATCAGGTCCGACTTTTCTGCTCCCTTCATCTCACAAGCTCAAGTTCTACCTTTTTCCAGCCAGCCTTCTCGTTCCTATTGCTTACTTGTCCTCGGCGCTTCCAACGCTTTGCAATAGTGCACGTCATAGCCCAAGATTGTTCATTCAAGATGGGTGACAGCCTAGCTTCGCAGATGGCCGCGTTCACATCCATCCCTCTGTTGGGTGGATACACCTCCAGCCGCGATCTCGCACCATCCATCGCTTTCATCTCGGGTTATGCCGTCTCGGCAGTCGGCATAGACATTGGAATCTTCCATAAACAGATCCCGATCCCTCTGGCTCTGCGGCCATCGATCCTGATTTTTGTTCGACTTGCCTGCTTATCATCCAGCTGGTAATGCTTAATACTAATGATGACTCCATTTCGCTGCTCGGCCTGTACGCTGCAGAGGCCGTTCTGTTCAGCGTGGGCTCGATCTTTCTGAGTACGGCCTGCTTACCATTGTCAAATTGCACGTCAAGTCGATCATCTTACACGATTCGAACCCAAAGGGTGCGATGAATATGACCAACGTTCTGCTCATCGCCTGCATCATCCTCATCGCTTCGGGCGGTGCCATGCAAGGAAGTACCAACATAGATGGCATTGAGACCAGCAAGACCTTGCGCAGAGCTGCCACTTTCCTCTTACTGTTCATCAACGTCATCCTCGCACTCCTCATCGGATGGATGTGGGTGCACGTGGCATTGTCGCTAGCTTACGGGAACCCCAAATCGGAAAGCCAGGTCAGTCCCGCGCGCGAAATGGTTCGCGTCCTGATTGGCGCCAAAGTCGACTGCGAGTCTGTACGCTCCAGATTGACAATCGACTCGTACTACTGCGCTTTCCTTCTTTGCGCTGACATCTATAAAGCTGTACAGGTCGAATCCACTTCGATCGATGATACGATTGACCTCAAGACGATCTTTTGGTGAGTTCACAGCATCCCACACAGGAGCTAATGAGATGTAGCTCACATGCTCTTCATTATTATTTTTTTACCTCAGGGGTGTCTATGTCGTTCTAGAAGCAATCTGCATGACATTCTTCGCGCGTTACAATTGGCGCAGACTGCTTCCACCATTTTGGGAGGAGGACGGCAGCGAGACGGGACCCTCCAAGCAAAACAGATAAGAGTGATGAAAATATTGACACCACACATGATCCATTTACAGAGACTTGTGAGTCCCATCCAGCGTAGTCGGGCTCTGAACCTGTTGCGCAAGCCAATGTTTGAAACATGGAGTGTATTGGACTTAGATTAACGCTCGCATAGATGTGCTCGTCCTTTCTCAAATGCTTCGAGATTTAAAAATTGGTGAGGCGAATGACATAGTCAAGGGACGAAGTGGAGGGGCAACAAATAAAGATCGGGAGATAAATTACGCTCGGTGTGGCCTAGTTGCTTCGCGACTGACGACGTTCGGAATGGCATCCAATATGCATGTAAGAGGCAGAATCGCCCTCGCAGAGAAATTTTCAGCAGCATGCGATTCGCAGAGATGACAATCACCAAGGCCCATCCAGTAAGCCTTGCCTCTCGTGCAATTCCGCACATGAGTTATGGCAAGCGATCGAATGTGAACCAAGCGGTAGGAGAATAAATGGAAGAGTGTGACAGTTGATAGGAGAAAATGGGCAAATGACAGAAGAGAAAGTCACGGAGACGGCAGTAGAATCGACAAGTTAGGGTTAGGGTTAGGGGAGCTCCGCGAGGAAAGCCGCTGGCCTGCGGGTAGCGTGAACTGCTTCGTTCCTGGACGACCCACTCGTCTGACTGGGCAGTTTGTGACGAGCAATATTCCAACATCAAAAT